TATTTCAAGTGAATGATTGAAAAAGAAGAAATAAACTATTCATCACCTTTGTGGCTCTCAATGTTTTCATTTTATGTTGACACAACGAACACATAAAAATAAAATATAAATGTATACAACACCTCTTGTCCTCCAAGATTCAACCTCAGATATGGATATCCTGCCTTCAGCTCCAAGATGACATAATCAAGAGGATCCTAAAATTTGTAATTAACAAAAAATAAGGAGTGTGTGAGTTTATGTAAACAAGCATATGTGTTGGGCACGTATGCTCACATACACAAATGATCATGCTTATGGGGGGGGGGGGGGAGGGAGGAGGGAGGGAGGGGGGAGGGAGGGAGGAGGGAGAGAGAGAGAGAGAGAGAGAGAGAGAGCGAGCGGAGGGAGGGAGGGAGGGAGGAAGAGAGGGGGGGGAACGGGAGTTAAAGAGAGAGCACATATAAAACAATTAGACAGTTAATCAACATTCTAGGGTCCCATTGTGGGGAGGGGGGAATAGACCTATTGCTCCCTAACAAGCATGTCGCAAGCGTCTACTAACTAGGGGTTTCCTTCAGTCAGAGTAAACCTGACTGAGAAGCAAGGAACCTACAGTTTGCACACAAATAAGCCAATCTGCAAAACTGATGTGCGCACAGTCTCTGGTAAAAGACTAAAGTCAAGAAACTGACAAACAACCAGAACTTTTCGCTTGAGTTTGCAGCTGTTGAACATGAAGAAAAAGGGGAAGTTAACTGACCGATCATCCTCACTGCACATCAGAAGACCAAGTCAAGTCCATAAGCACATGGTTGGATGGTGACTGATAACACCAGTTTTGTGTTGGTTTACTATTTTTCTTTGGCTACCTATACAGTGTTCAAGTCTGGCAACACCTCTTTAGGTTGAATCTTCTCTAGTCTTGTCAAGGTTTCCGATTCACCGTCATCTGCTAAATTGCCTACTTATCCTGCCTCTTTGAGAGCTCTGAGAACATTGGACTAGTCCACAGCTTTTTTATGGGTCAAATCGGTTCAAAGACAATGATTCGAGTCTTTCAGGAATTCTTTTATGACCAGAATCAATTACATTTTTGTGCTAGAAGGGAGAAGGAATGAGTGGATTGGCTTGCTGGCAGGCACAAGATTTGTTTTTAGAATTGTTTATTATTATACAACAAAAGTCTGTTCAACCAGTCAGCATAAAAAATAAATACTAGGATATTTAATTCACCTCCAAGAACAAAAACAAAGCCAAGATAACCTTTTCTAAAACTGACCTTGGTTTGATCTACAGCTGTTACAGGGCCACTATACAAAATCAGACCATCTTCTTGAAGCGTAACAAAGTCAAGACTGGTTCGGCCTGAAGAGCAGACAGACAGCCCCTTGTAAAAGGCTGCACTTGAACCGTCAAAACTGTGACGAAGCTGCTGGCATCTGGGTCCATCAAATCCTGGGTTGCAGGCACAACTGGTGGAAAAAAATGAAACATTATATGCTACGAGTTAATAATATCCTTTCAGTGTGGCTTACAGGCATGATGCCCTTCTTTTTATTGAGATGATCGGTCATGAATCATGAAACTGGAAAAGGGAGGGGGGGGGGGTGATGATGTTATACTCCCTCTGATCCTGGGACAGTGCATCATATGCTTAGTTTTAAATGAGTTTGAAAAATTAGGAGAATCTATATGCATTTTGTTTTTGGCTTGTGGTTCAGAATCACTGTACTTGCACATGGGTGTCACCATTTAGTATTCCTATCTCCTTCAACAGATCCCATAAAGATGATCTTAGTCCAGTGCATAAGCCCTGTATCACCATCAGGATTCAAGTTTGTGCACACCAGAATCACTTGTGCTATAAAGAGTATTTGTAGGTAGGTTTCCTGGTTTTTCAGTTAGGTTTAGGTTTCTGTTTAGACAATGAATCAACATCATGACACAAGGGGAGTAACTCTGTTGCACCCGCAAGGATCCTAAAAATACTTTAGGTCGATTTTTAACCTAAAATTTTGTCGGAGCAGCACCATTAGGCTTCTCTTTTCGATTTCAACTGCCAAGGAATTTTTGTGTGCGTGCAACAATACACACGGGCGTCTGATCTTACGACTCAGACACCAGGGGAAAATTACTAGAAGTCTACGTGAAAAAATCTGCATTCGCTGGGGGCTTGAACCCAGAACCTCCAGCACTCGAGGCAGACACCATGCCCTGAGACCACTCATTTCCCTGATTTTTAAAAAATAATGTATAGGTAACAGCCTGTTTCACCTGATGTTTTTGAAATATCCAACATCCAAGGGATTTTTAGTGTACACAACATCTTCACAGGTCCTTCAATGTTTTTATCTGTCCAATCAGGGAAGCGGGGGGATTGGGGGTTGGGTAGGGGCGGAAGTATGCACATTTCTTATTTATTCTGTAACATTCTAAAGGGTCAACATCATGAAATGAGTTGAAGAAATTATAACAACCAATGTCAGAGTTCTCCTCCATGCACAGGTTGATCGGAACCTGTACCACACTTAAACCAACGGCTTTCTCAAACTGAAACATTATTGAAACAATCAAATTACCAGATGTGTAGGTGTATTCTTTGTTCATGTATGTGTGTTAAAAATGTGGCGGGGAAAAAACAAGAAGAGACAGTCACAAATAAAAAACTAAGAATAATGGTGGGCACAATTCTAGTAAATGTCTTCAGATACCATAAAATAATCAAATGGTTTGGTCATGTGGTCAGAATGGTACAAAATCAGCCAGCAGCTAGACCATATTACTTGAGAACAGCAGATGGGTGGAGGGAGTTGAAAAAAACACTACAGAAATCCAAGATGAGACTAACACAAGCTATGCCACAAGGCAAAAGACAGCATATTTAATTCCTTCCTCTCTGTGATGCTTTCATAGCAAAGGCAGCAGGACAAAAACAAAAGTTTATGTGGACAAAAACAGAAGTTTGTGTGGACAAAAACAGAAGTTTGTGTGGACAAAAACAGAAGTTTGTGTGTCTATGTGCAAATTCAGAATTGTGTATTGCGGCATTTTGTTATGACTGACCTCATTTCATATTAAATATTCCTATGCATGATCAAGCCTCCAATGCAGCATCCACCATAAAGCATTTCTACTGACCATTCCATATCAAGCTGGTTATAATATGTGCATGTATGTGCGCTATATTCATAATATAAGTGAATAATTAAAAATGCAGAAAGGATTTACTATTGGAGGTAAGACTGCACGCTAAGAGAAAATATTATCTATAACTAGAACTGTTTTTTAAATTTAATTTTCCCACTAAGATTATGGCGTAAAAGATTACACTCAAGACTCAAAGAGCTACTATCTGGAAGACAACCCAACAGAAGCAAATTTCAGAAACCCTGTTTAACTACAAGCATCTGGTGTTGATTTGTTACCAGGAATGAAATTTAGGGAAAGCTTTCCACAATTTCTGCACCTTAAAATCTATTAAGTTATTGTTGTCTAAAACAAATCTTTTTGATAAACATGTTAACTTTTTAAAAAAAAGTTCTTTGGTACTTTCTTTCTGGTATATTAATCAGTTCTACTTTAAAAAATTTTTTTTATTGTGAGGCAGGAATACTGACTGAAACAAAATGCCTAATCAGATCAGTAATATACAACAATAAGAAGGAGACAAACAAAGTTCTTGGGTCACGTGATGAGAAAAGGAGCACTGGAAAATATTGTGATGACTGGAAAGACCACTGGTAGAAGAGGCAGACCAACAGAAATGATGGTGGATGGTTTAATGGTTTAAGACAGTGGCAATGAGGAAAATCATCAGTGGAACTGATCCAGAATCCAGAACACAAAAGACTAAGATATGTGGAGATGCATGAACACCTATGCAAGCTGGCAATGCGTTTGATGATGATGAATACTTCTACTTTTCTTCACAAGATAGCTTAATTACAGATAATGGGTGGTACAGAAAAAAGCATTAAAACTTTAAAAACACACAGAAAATATAAGAAAAGAAAAGATGTTACATAACTTTTGATCTTTCTTCTTCTTCTTCGCATTCACCAGTTGTACACTCTGGTGGAAAGTTCTGGTTGTTCATCCACTTCTGAACTGCAGCCCTGCTCCAGAATCTGAGTGTTGCATGTGCATCAGTTTTACAGATCTGATTCACTTGAATGCAGACTGTTGGCTCCTTGCCTCTCGGGCAGATGCACTCCGACTTCAAAGGAAACTCTCCAATTAGTCGACTCTTATGACATGCTTTTGGGGAGGCAGAGGGTCTATTCTTGTTTTCCCCACGATGGGGCCCTGGAACCCACACGGGAAATAACTGATGTTTTGAATATGATACATAAAGACAGAAAATCAGGATAGCAGTTGAGAAATGTATAAATTCTTGTGCTGACTGACAGCCTGTGACGATACTGACATAAACAAAATCATTACTTCTGGCACTCCGGTATGGGAAAACTACCACTTTTATGAAAACTGCTGAATAAACTTTACAATCAGCATTTCAATTTCATTGTGGGATGCTCTGAGAAGAGAGCAGATAAAATGGCTGGGAAAGGTCCTACAAACAAAAAAAGCAACCAGATTTACCAATCACATACCATCAATGGGAAAAAAATCAAACGGTCACTATTTTCATCACAGGATGACTAATAAACAAAGGACAGACAAGAGTAAGTGATTTTCTTGCACCTCAGAACAGGGCTCAATAGCTTTTGCAGCCATGCGTTTATACACTCCAAGACTGGAACAACAGCAGGTGCAGATGTGGTTTAGTGCCTCAGACGGCAGAACATTCATTCCCAGACTGTCTCAAATGTGACACATTAAAAAAAAAAAAATGCCGAAAACTAAAACTTCATATATCACTGAGTTAACTACATGCACCCATGTGAATTCATTCTCTCTCTGTCTCTCTCTCTCTGTCTCTCTCTCCCCCTCTCTCTCTGTCTCTCTCTCTCACACAAACAAACACTATGATTTTCCCTATAAAATATGTCCCAGCTCACCTTCAAGTCTAACTCCTCCAGACTTTCTGACTGATTCATCCGTAATGAGCTGGATAATAACAGAGACTGTGCTGGTGACAGTCTTCTCAAACTTCTTGTCAAAGACATTCACCTGTGGAAACCCAATACTCAGATTAGCAGTTATACTTGAACATCTTTTAAACAAATTATTCATTCTTATCTCTCACAGCTTCTCTATCAGTCTTCTACTCTTTATTCCCAATGGAGTTAAGGACTTCAATTTATGCAAATGAAAGAAGGTAACTAATTAATTAATTAATACCTGCGAGTTCGTGGTGTGGGTTATACAAAATAAAGAACACAAGAATGTTGATTTCCTTGAAACCGGAACAGTGGAGTTGAGTTAATAATTGACATCACAGCACTCGGGGCACTCCCACGTGCGCTCTGTCTTCATCTTCAGCAGCCAGCGCAGAGTTCCAATACTGATGGTACTGGTCACAATCTGGTTATACGTCCGTCTTGCCTTTCCTCTGAGTGTAGTGAGCTAGTCAGACCCTCTGGTTACACCCAGGTGCCTCATTCTCTCCAGGCTAATAATATTGTTTCTCTACTGATTCCGTTGCTTGTTCCCAAAGGGCTTTGACAACGTCTGCCTTGTCATGTATCAATTCACCACCCAGTGGTGCAGATCCAGCCAATCTGACTGCATGTTCATTACCTACTACCCTGGCATGGCCTAGAGAAAAGAGTATGTTCACTACCGGTGACCTTCACAGTGAAGTTTGCCACTCTGCTCAAAGCATCCCTGTCTTCACCTTTCTCAGCATGCCTTCACAGTCTGTTACAATTACATGTGTATGCATCTTGTTCTCTAGCCACCGGAGAGCTGCAGTTACCGCCTCCACCTCCATTCTCATGCTAGATGTTGTGACATCGTATGCTAGGTTGTCATGCACTAAATATTTTCCATTGGCTTTGGCTATGAGCCCCCAGGCACTTCTCTTTCCTCTCAAAACTGTACCATCTGTATAGATAATCAGATCACCTGGTCGTGAATTGTCGTGAATCAACTGTTGGAATTCTATCTCCGTAGCACCCACTGGCCAGTCTTTGCACTCCCAATCCAACGTGAGCATAACCCTACACAAGTCAGACTTTTCCTCTGGTACTCTGAACCACTCCTCTCCTTGCCCAATGTTCTCCAGCATGCATACTTGTCTTATTGTGTATTCTGCTTGGGCCATCCATGATTTCCCCCTTTTCAGCCTCTGACCCTTACCTGCAGCCAAAGCTTCATACAGAGGGTGTTCTTTATCTGCAGCTACTCTGAGGTATGACTTAGTCTGCAGCACCTTAAACCTATCTGCAATAGTCGGCAATGCAAGGATATAAAGCATGCCTACAATGCACAGGGCAGTGGATTGTATGCCTAGCAGTCTTGGATAAGACAGTTCGATACAAGGGTCTGCTACCCAGACTGACTTTCCAATTTAGGATTTCTAACCCCATTAGAATATCTATAATATAACTTGAGAAGATATGGACACTGCCAAATACATCTTTTCTGCCCCTTGCAATGATGGCTAATTTACACTGAGTATCAATGCTTTCATAATACTACACCTTTATGATACTTTATTGAACCTCTTCTTCTTTTTCTACTTCAGCATTCCGAGCCCTTGAGGTTCATTGATGCAGATATCACCCACCTCCATTAATCTCTCTGGTTGACCTTCTTTTTTCGGTTGGTGATACCAAGTGTTTGCAGGTCTCTCTGGACATTATCTCTCTATATTCTTCTTGTTCTGCCTCCTACCATTCATCCCCTTTGTGTATACAGTTTTCACTTCTCTGTCATCTGACATTCTCTCAATATGCACCAACTATTAACATAGGTTAAAAAGAAAGTTATTTTAAAACTCAAAAACAAAATATTTTCAATCAGAAAAAGAACAAAAAAACTTCTGGCGTTTAAAATATACACATTGTGTCTGCTGAAAGGTCGCAGCTTTGCCATAAACAGGCATAATGCAATTACATCACTTGGATAAACAAAAAAGGAAGAAATATACACACACAATTTTTTTTTAAAGATGAATTTAGACATAACTGGCTGATAGAAACAACTGCACAAAAAATAATATTTAAAAAAAAAAAGGTTTTAATAATATTAGTGTCAACTAAATACAAAATACGTACAATGAAAGTAACATAACGTACCCTGAACTGGTATGGGTTGTTGGCAGTATTCGGAGGAACATCAGGCTTCATAGTAATCATGCCAGTTTGCTCATTCACACTGGTGGAAATTAAAAGAAATGAAAACTGCTTAAACTGTATGATAAAATGTAAACATTTCTATCAAGAAAATAAGCTTCTAAAAGAATATGCATTATCATGACTTCTATTGGGCTGTTACACAATTAAGTTTAAATTCTACAGCAATGACATGAAACAAATATTGTAGATGTTATGTCTGTATTCTTCTTCTTCTTCACTTCCTCTTTTACCGCTGTGGGTGTCGAGAGAGATATAAGGTTCTGTTTCTAGCTCTTCTGGCTGCCTCGACCATCGGCACATCGTGCTGTTGTAGAATTTCTCTGATGTTATCCTTCCATCTTGTTCTTGGTCTACCCTATGCTCTACGTCCTTCTTCTCTTTCCATGTATGCTTTGTATGGTATGGTGTCACAAGGCATTCTCTCTAAGTGGGCAAACCATTTCACTTGCTGTCTTTGTATGTAATCCAGAATTGGTTCTGTGCCGACTTGTTCTCTTATGATCTCATTCCCGATCTTATCTCTTATGGTCACTCCTACAGCCCTTCTCAGACATCTCATTTCCGTGGTTACTAATTTTCTTTTATGGTTTGTTGTGAGTGACCATATCTGTATGCTAGTGCAAAAAGAATAATCAAGACATAGACAGTAGGGGAAAAAAAAGCATATCAAGATATGCACTTCACACTATATAACAACAAGACTCACAAACACACATTTATATAGTCATATAAACTACCTTGAATAAAACATGTTGCTAATAAAACACCTCTTTTGTTTTTTTTAAGCTTCTATTTTTAAAAATAGCAGTAAAAGAAATGTCATAGTTTATTCAGCTGAAAGTGTGAAGTTTTTTAGGCTTTCCTCCCAATAACAGTCCTAAATTATCAAGGCGGAAAATATACCCTAACAGGGCCTCAGTCACGTGTCAATTGCACACTTTGGTCGTCTTAAATTGCGTGCTTCTGGCGACTTCCGCGACCGCCGCTCACTCATCTCCTGCAGCTTCCTTCATTTTATTTGCTCGGGAGTCCTAGCCATCTAGTTTAGCCCCAAACCACTCTGCGTGAGCGACGTGGGGGATACTCTTAGCGGTGGTGGAAGTTGCCGGAAGTTCTCAATTCGGCGGTGGCATCCCAGGAAGTGCGCAACTGACACATGACTGAGGTCCTGTTAGGGTAAATTTTCTGCCCCAATAATTTAGGACCGTTATTCTGAGGATAGCCGTTTTTTAGACAAACATTAGGTCAGACACATGGGATGCATGTCTAATGCCTGTTTACATGACTATAGTTTGAAACATAGCAAAATAATTATCGCTAGCACCTAGCATAATAATAACCACGCTGTGAAGCCATCATCAACAATCACTATACAAAAGCAGATGTGGTCTTTCTAGATCATGGTTAACTATTAGCTCTTCATAATTGTTCACATGCTTCTAAAGCGCCTTTACCACATTTGTCTTGTCATGCATCAGTACCCAGTGGTACAGAATCAGCAAATCTGCTGAAAGTCATGGTTGTTTGTGAAACCCATGTACCCTTCTTCCTCTTCTTCTTCATGTTCACCGGCTGTAAACTCCAGCGAACAGTTCTGGACTTTAGTCTTTTGTTCCAGAACCTAAGTGTTGCATGCACATCTGTTTTACAGATCTGACTTATTTGTATGCAGACTGCTAGTTCCTTGCCTCTCAGGCAGATGCACTCCGACTTCAAAGGAAGCCCCCAGTCAGTCGACTCTTACGACATGCTAGCTGGGGGAGGGCAGTGGGTCTATTCTTGTTTTCCCCCCAGGAATCCACACAGGGAACCCATACACTGAATTTCTAACTCTTGTCCAAACTAAGAAAATCAAATTCTGGCAATAGTTTACTTCATAGAGGTTGACAAACAATACACATTCTGAGATATTTTAACAGTATATTTCACATAGGAGTAGACACTTGGGGGGGGGGGGGGATATTATTTATGCACTTACTGCTACTCATCCCTAGGAAACATAATGCTCTCCACATTATAACCTCTCCTCCCTGCTGCCTTCCAGGGTATGTCTCTTTAGACAAAGGCTATTGGAGTTTAACCATAAACAAACTGGCGGAAGACAGGGGAAACCACTGCTGTTTATTTTCACTAGTAAATCGTGCCTTTAAAGCAATCAAATTTGGATCGCGCAGTTGCAGATCGTAGACTGTGGAGAAGCATGATCGCCAACACCAGTCGGCAAGGTACTTGATGATGATGATGATTTTAGACTTGCCTTGCTGCCAGGAAACCATGTGTAGCCATGCAGAAAACAACTGACTGAACAAGGAGGACAAGCAAAAATTAAAGGACCTATTTCCACACCTTGGGGCATACAAGATATATGGTACCATGCCAGCTGCATGCACTTTCCAGGATATTTTCTGATATCCATTTTAGGGTAGGTAACTGGGAGTCATTTATGTCTCTGGGCACATGGATAACATCCTATGACAGGTTAAAACTGCATTATACCAATTGAATAACATTTTATGCAATGAAGCAATGTCCCTGTAATTTAGACAAAGAGTGTAGGCAGACTATACAGAGTCACTTATAACACATGGCTGTGAATCCTGGACAATTAATAAACAAAGTCAAACTTTTTCATGAGGCCTCAGAGATTTGGTTTTACATAATAATTTTTAGAATGTGTCCGAGAGCCAAAAGGAGCAACACAGATTCTCTGAAAGTGGCGAGCGTTCGAAGACAACTTATCATAAACATCATAAAGTGAGCGTCATTATTTCTGGGTTTTGTTAAAAGAAAAAGAAAATTAGGATCTGTTATGCCCACTGAAAAAATCTGGTGGGAAAGAGACAGAGAAAGACAAGGCGATAAGATTCTTGACTGTCTTTTGCCATGACACAGAATTGTGTCAGCACACAAACTGATACACGCTGCTGAAGATATTAGTCTGTTGAGAGGCAAGATCACCCATGGCAGTCACAAGGCACTTGGTGATGATGATGATGATGACCTGGGAGCAAAGATTCATTTTTTGGAACTAGTCTTGATGCAGATTTGAACTGTGACTACTGGGCTAGTAGGCTGCTGGCCGCTGAGCCACAACAGCACCCCAAGAGTATTAGAGAAGCAGATAAATTAAAACCTCTTCAGTTATTACTGGATGATTACAAAAGATCTACCAATAAAGACATCCTATACTGTAGGAATACAGACACCATCAGAGACAACTGCATCTCTTAATTTCACGATCTTAAACTGCTTACACCCTAAACTTTCAGAAAGAAATGGCAAACTACTGAACACAAAATTCCCCTAGTAAAATCACAAACAGCCACTTCCTCTTTATGTTTGCTGGCTGTAAACTCCGGCGGAAAGTTCTTGTTGTTTTTCGACCTCTGGACTTTAGTCTTGTTCCAGTACCTAAGTTCTGCATGTACATCCATTTTACAGATCTGGCTTATTTGTATGCAGACTGTTGGTTCCTTGCCTCTCAGGCAGAGATGCATTCTGACTTGAAAGGAAACCCCAACTAGTTGATTCTTAAGACATGCTTGTTAGGGAGGCAGGGGGCAATTCTTATTTTCCTTCACAATGGGGCACCAGAATGCACACACGAAAAACAGTCCCTAAAAAAAATGCTAAAATTATTCTGTGACATCCTTGAAGAGCATCTACAACATGTAACATTAACAACTGATTTCACTAGAATAATATGTAGCATATTTACCTAAAGTAATCCTTCAGATTATCTGGTGAGACATATGTGAATGTCTTATCGGGGAGGTCCCAGTCATCCTTATCGTCTACATATACACGGCCAATTTCTGTGTTCTTAAATTGTCCTTTTATTTAGAAAAAGAAAAAAATTCAACAAAAGATAATGGTGAATAAAGGTGGTTTTTTTACTAAGCATGTACCTCTTTTTCTTTGGTTAAGAATCATTTTCATTACACATAGAGTATTTAATTACTTCAACTGTCTCCAAAGATTCACACAATTTCATCACAAAACACAAACTGTTACACAGGGGTAAAAGTTCAGGTCATTACAATTTCTTATTAGCTACTCAATAGCTGAGGAGTGGCTGGATAAGTGACTAGGAACACTCTGTTCTCATCTAAAAGACCCCTGTTCAAATCATCAAAAAAAGTGATGAATTTTATTTTCTGTCGGAGGCAAAAATGAAATCCTAACCTGCACAATGTGTAGCAACTGTACTAGTCATGCAGACCTAAATATTCAGACTGCACCATTCCCCCTCAAAGTGCCATAACAATCGGTATATATAAAGGTAGCAAAGACTCATAGTTACAAAAATGACATATGCCCAACCCTAGAGTTAGTGGGGGAGATGACCAGAGAATCTAAGGATCTGACAGAAGTGCTGTGATGATAATTATCACTAACCACGTATGCTCCCAACACATTTTATCCACTAATTTTTTTTAAAAGAAATGTTTACTATTCTAGCATGAGAAACAAACCTGTAAAGGGGGGGGGATACTGGGTCTATCCCCCTCCCCCCCGACCGGGGCCCCAGAACTAACACAAACAGTAGTTTAATAGTCAAAGTTACCTTCGTAATTATAAATGTAAATATTCTGATGTCCTGGTTCAAGAGTGTTGTCATTCTCATCTCCTATTATAATTGTAAAGGTGTTGGTGGCTGTCATTGATCCTGGCTTTCCATCCATGTCATACATAACAATTGGCAGGTAGTAATACTTCATGGCTTCACGGTCAAATCTAGTACTGGTTGTTATAGTTGCTGTACGATTTCCACCATCACCCTCTGTGCGAGAAAGATTTAGATAATTTATTAGGAAAAGAAGCTACTGTGAATGAAATTAAATGCTTTTAACTATCAGTTTACTTGGAATTAATAACATATTCAATCTACATTTTGTTAGTCGTGAGAATTTACTGATTCATAACACTGAATGTATAATGTAGATCAACATTTTGACAGCAAAATAGATATAATTTGATGTGGTGATACAGAGAAACTATGGAGACAAAAGAAATAAATCATAAAGCTATAGTCAAATGTGCATTCTGCCAGGTTTTTCTGTGAATTATCTAGTGTAGATGAGAGAAACAAAATCTGCCTTGAGTCCACTTAAGTAGATTAAAAAGAACAAAACTGTTACCAGGGATCAACACAGCAAGTAAAATATTAATTATGTAAACACTCATTTTAAAAAACAATAACTTTCTCTTTATATTCTTGGCGTACACTGGCTGTAAACTCAGGTGGTGAGTTCTGGTTGTTTGTCCACTTCTTGACTTTGATCTTCTTCCAGAACTGAGTTTTGCATGCACATCCGTTTTACAGACCTGACTTATTTGTATGCAGACTGTTGTTTCCTCACCTCTCAGGCAGATGTACTCTGACTTCAAAAGAAACACCTCTAATTAGCCTTGTTTGATAACATGCTGTTGTTGTGGGGGAGGGGAAGGGGGAGGGGCTATTCTTTTCCCCCCTCAAAAATGGGACCCACTGAACACACATGGGGATTTCAAATAACAATCTACACTGTATACCAAGAAGTGCTGAATAAGGATACTACTGGTACAAATACAACAGAATAAAAAAAAAAAAGAGAGATGAAACATATATATGTGTGTGTGTGTGTGTGTAGACGGGGGGGGGGGGGGGGGTGGAGTGGAGAGAGAGAGAGAGAGAGAGAGAGAGAGAGAGAGAGAGAGAGAGAGAGAGAGAGAGAGAGAGAGAGAGAGAGAGAGAGAGAGAGAGAGAGAGAGAGAGAGAGAGAGAGAGAGAGAGAGAGAGAGAGAGAGAGAGAGAGAGGTGTAAAGTCATTGCAAGACATGTGCGGATTTGTCTGGAGTGCGGTAATGATAGATAGTTATTTAGTTGGGTTATTATCATTGCACTCGGGACACGTCCATAGGTACTCAGTTTCCCTCCTCCATTTGAACCCCAGCATCCAATGGCTAGTAGTACCAGTTTTATGTTGATTAACAAGTCCTCTGATTAGCCTTGTTTGATAACATGCTGTTGTTGTGGGGGAGGGGAAGGGGGAGGGGCTATTCTTTTCCCCCCTCAAAAATGGGACCCACTGAACACACATGGGGATTTCAAATAACAATCTACACTGTATACCAAGAAGTGCTGAATAAGGATACTACTGGTACAAATACAACAGAATAAAAAAAAAAGAGAGATGAAACATATGTGTGTGTGTGTGTGTGTGTGTGTGTAGACGGGGGGGGGGGTGGTGGAGTGGAGAGAGAGAGAGAGAGAGAGAGAGAGAGAGAGAGGAGAGAGAGAGAGAGAGAGAGAGAGAGAGAGAGAGAGAGAGAGAGAAAGAGAGAGAGAGACAGAGAGAGAGAGAGAGAGAGAGAGAGAGGTGTAAAGTCATTGCAAGACATGTGCGGATTTGTCTGGAGTGCGGTAATGATAGATAGTTATTTAGTTGGGTTATTATCATTGCACTCGGGACACGTCCATAGGTACTCAGTTTCCCTCCTCCATTTGAACCCCAGCACCCAATGGCTAGTAGTACCAGTTTTATGTTGATTAACAAGTCCTCTGATGTGCTTGGTGTGCATCTTGTTTTTTGCTATGCCAATCTTAACGACCTTAACTCCCAAGTCTACCATTCTGGCGAGTGATACAGATTCACTGCCCCCAAAGTACTCCACCCTTCCCATTTTTTGGAGGGCATTAATAATATCAGCTTGATCCATAGGTTGGGACGTGAAGGAAGGTAGTGGCAGACAATACAGAAATAAAACTGGGTGAAAAGACACATGCAACAATTGAATTCAATCACCAGCAACAATGATAAGAGCTTTGATCAGTCATATACTTGGCTAAAAGACGATGGATTCCTGCCGTTAGCTGCTGCTATTTCCCTGCATCTGTCCATTCCCTGGTTTGTGATGTCTGCCTGCTCCAGCCTTTACGGCAGGTGTCAAAACATCAGGCATGGTAATGGTAGTTCTCATTAATCACACTTTGGTAGCAAACAGCTTTGCACTGATTTCGATAAATGGTACAGCCATTCAGAAGCAATGGCAAACTATTAAACATAAACCACACAACAGCTAATAAATGCTGGAGTTGTTAGCAGAGTTCTGCAAAAGGATAGGCAACCATCTTTAACTTTAATAATTAAATTGACACTTTCACTGATCTATAAATTTAAGAAACAGTCAGAACAAAAATAAAAGCTCTGCTGTGTTTCAAGGAAGACAGTTGGAGACCAAATTGTGAGAAATAAAAACAAAACCACATAAAAAATTTACATAATAGAAACTGTTGTGGCATGAGCATACTATATGCAGGCATGATGTTGCCAGACTTACAGTATTCTGTCAGTCTGTAGTAAACTATAGTTTAGATGAATAAGTAAGTTGCGTATCCTTTACAGGATGTTGCAGAACCAACCCCAGAAATTTGTGGCTGTTGTCGTTTTTCTAGGCAAATATTTTTGTTTAGTCGTTTGCCACTGCTTCCTGAATGGTCAGCTCTCAGTACCACTGTTGAAACCAACACAAAACAAACCATCTGTAGCTGGGATCGAACCCAGCACCCCGGCATTATGAAGCACGTTCGCAGGGCCTTGTCCACAGATGCCGAATTTAGATGGATAAATATAGGATTTAGACACATTAATGGCTCCAGTGAATTATACATTTCATGTGACATTTTACAACTGGAAGATATTACACTAATTCTCAATCACATTAAAACAAAACTGATTCACTTACCATCATTAACTGTTAGGGTGAAGAAATTACAAGCTGGCACATTGCAACCAGCTGGCACAAGAAATCCAAAGGGAGGTCCATGCTCTCTAGTGTCTGGATCAGTTGCAGATATCACCTGCACTACCCGATTATTGTTGTCCACATTTTCTGGCACCACAGGCCGGTACTTCTCTCGGAAACTTGGGGCATTGTCATTTATATCAGTGAGTGTTACTGACAGTGTTGCAGTGCCAGTCAATGGAATTTCACCTTTTTTTAACAGACAAAAAATTTAGTTTATTTTGTTGTTAAGTATAATCATTACACTCAAACAGCTTGTCGACCCAGCCTAAAATGGGTACCAGGATGGGCTGTCCTGGGAAAGTAAAGACAGCCAAAGTAATGCTGACCACATTACCCACCGAGTGCTGATGGTCTGTAAAAATATGGGACGCTCTGCCCATATGCCCGATGCGCCGAAAGGCGTGAAAAGGGAACTTTACTTTTTTTTTTTTTAATAATCATTACAATTTATCATTTACAGACTGAAAATTTCAGGCAAAACATCTGAGTGATTCTAGTCTTGAGTTTAACAGTGCCCAGTTTACAGAGACTTCACACTGCAAAATGTTCTCTAGGTGTGGGTTTCCAATATCTATTTTACTAGTTACCTCATGTCACAGGTGAGAGATTACCTCGGCCACATGCAATTGCAGTATTACCCCCCCCCCCCTCCATGTGGGGCCTGTCCAGTCAATCTATCTACCTGCTCATTCCAAACACACCTGAAAAGCTCAGGACAAATATCTATGTGATGCTCACCAACCTCTGGACTGATGCTCCATTTGAAGAAAACCTACCACCACCCTGCTGTGATGCTTTGTGAATCCAATTTCATGAAAATATGTGTGGCTGAGATTTTCTTCACCCATCGGAATGCAGCAGTTACCGCCTCCACCTCTATTCTCATGTTGGATGTGATAATGGCATATGCCAAGCTCTCTCCAGTCATCCTCCCCACCCCACCCCCCCCCCCCCCCTATGCTTTTGCAATGAAACCCTGTCCACTCTTTCTATCCCTGGCCACTGACTTATCAGTATATATAAACATATTTCCTGGTCTAGAGTTATCAAATAGCTGCCAACAGTTTGCGGTTATATTTGTGGTCTGCTTTATTTGCACCACTTGCGTGACTAAGATTGTGGTTGTGCACCAGCTCTCTCTGGCTTCATGTTCCTATCCTAACAGCTAGACCGCTGCTTCCAGTCAGCGTCCCTCTTATCCTTATCTTCTTGATGTTTTTCCTCATGGATCATCCCCCATCTGGTTCATTTGTGCATTCCAGAATGGTTCACAAAACCTTGTCTTGAATGTGTTCACATTTTCCAACTGAGATATTGACATGGTTAATATATCCCTAGGCCAAATCCAGTGACTGATATAACAAGGCTGTGACCGAGTATGTTCAACATCTCTTGTTTTATGTCCACAGCAGCCATAACCTTCAGTGCATTAAGTCCCCTCTTTGCTCTTAAGATGACTGCATAAAGGTGATTCTTGAAAGATAGTACTCTGTCGAACTAACTCCCGAATATTTACAGCATTTCCTCTTTTTGGCCACCTTATTTACTGTGATCTTGGGGAAATCTGCTGTGACAATTCTATTGTGTAATGAACACCATGATTATGATGCTTTGTTTGTGTATTTCTATTGTGCAATGAACACCACCATGATGATGCTTTGTTTTGGTGTTTCTAATGTGAAATGAATACCACAAAGATGATCTTTTGGGTGTTTCTATTGTGCACTGAACACCACAATGATGATGCTTTGTTTGGGTGTTTCTATTGTGCAATGAACACCACAATGATGATGCTTTGTTTGGGTGTTTCTATTGTGCAATGAACACCACAATGATGATGCTTTGTTTGGGTGTTTCTACTGTGCAATGAACACCACAATGATGATGCTTTGTTTGGGTGTTTCTACTGTGCAATGAACACGATGATGATGATGCTTTGTTTGGGTGTTTCTACTGTGCAATGAACACGATGATGATGATGCTTTGTTTGGGTGTTTCTACTGTGCAATGAACACCACAATGATGATGCTTTGTTTGGGTGTTTCTATTGTGCAATGAACACCACAGTGATGATGCTTTGTACTGTGTAATGAACACAATGATGATGAGGCATTTAGGTGTTTCTGTTGTGCAATGAACACCATGATGATGATCCTTTGTTTGGGTGTTTCTATTGTGCACTGAACACCACAATGATGATGCTTTGTTTGGTCTCATCAACGATGCTGGGTCTACACTAATCATAAATTTTATTTATCATCACTTGGAGCTCCTCAAATATCTTTTTCCTATCTCTATGATGTGATTATTTGCCAGCATGTTCTCTGCAAATATGAGCACCCTTCTAATTCTGGATTTTGGGCAAATCAGATTTCTGTAAAGTGATATTTATTTACTTTTTTTAAAAAAAAATTTGCTTTTTTATGGCATAGATGCATTTAATTTGACTATATTTTACATTTTAAAATTCTAGTTTGTATTATCAAAGATGCAAACAGTGGGGAATGGAGAATAATAAGCTACAATGAAATTCATAATCTGTTTAAATCACCATTGATCACTGGTATCATGAGGGCTAATAGACTAAAATAGCTGAGGGCATATTGAAATAATGTCAGATAACAGAGAGGTAAAAACTGCAGACCAAGAAGATGATAGAGAGATAATATCCAAACAGACCTACTAACCAAACGAAAAGAAAGGGCCAGTCAGAGAGATGAATGGAGGCCGGTGATATCTGCAACAATGAACGTCAAGGGTTCAGAATGCTGAAGAAGAAGTTGTTTTTTTTTAAGGTTGGCCATTTCCACAAATAATTTCATATGTTTGCAGGTTAAAGACCAATTTATATTGATTTCAACAATGGTATAACCGCCATACCATAAAGAAAACGATTATGATCTACTGAATATAAAACTGCCCAGTAAAACATCAAACAACCAACACATGATGGGGTTGGTTTGAGATTTCATCTAATCAACATGCAGTAAACTGGTGGTAAACTCCTAATGATTTTATAAATATAATTTTTTTTAAATACAATGGTACCGAAAGAACAGATTCTGGACGGTTAGACATCATGGCATGGAAGATCATCAGTGTCAGAGTTGACTGAAAGTACATGAGACAGAAGGTTGTGGACAGATATGACTACTAACACCACATGGCATGGCCTTTAAGAAGAAGAATACAATGGGGATTGTCATCCTATTTGCATAATATGCAGTACATCTTCTTCTTGGCATTCACTGGCTGTAATCTACGGTCAAAAGTTCTAGCTGTTTTTCTACTTCTGCACTCTTAGTCTTGTTCCAGAACTTGAGTTTTGCATGAAATTCCATGGTACAGATCTGGCTTATTTATAGGCATACTGCTGGTTCTTCCCCTCTTGGGCAGATCTACTCTGACTTCAGAGGAAACATCCCTAATCAGCCGCCTTTTAAAATCTGCTTTTGTGAGAAGGGGCAGTGTGTTTATTCTTTTGTCCCCCCACAATGGGGCCCTAGACCCCTTCTGGGAAGAATACGCAATATAGATACAGCACAGATATTACCTCTTTCATTTTCTAATAATGTATGATGTATTCTTGTCTCTTCCTTCAGAATACCAAAAAAACTGTATAATGTATGCTTTTAAATTTTTTATTTGGTCAAAACATTTTTAAAATCTCTGGCTTTCCTGGCAGCCATTTCTACTATGTATTTAGACTCTATGAAAGGTAATATACTTGTTATATATCAAAGAGATGGCTTTCTTCCTTTGTTAGCTGCTGTAAAACATGGAAGAGTTAATTCCTAGGTTAACAAAGGCAGCATTATTGCCAGATTGCCTAGCATGTAATAACTAACCTTTATCTATGGCCAAAATCCTCAAAATAATTAACTCCTGAACTTCTCGATCAAGCCTCTTGCGAGTTGTCACTACACCAGTAGTGGCATTGATGTAGTACTCATATCTTGGATCTGTTGCTCTGTCTATGGAATACCTGGTTAGAAAAATAGAAGACGAAAAAAAAAAACAATTCAGGATTAATCAGTGAATCAGAGTTCCAACATCATGGCAAATGGGTCACCACAACATAGTTGCTTCATTCCTATGTCAGTGAAGACCATACAGAATGTCCAGCATTACCCCTTGCTAAGAAAAACTTTAAAGAATGTCCAGCATTACCCCTTGCTGAGAAAAACTTTAAAGAATGTCCAGCATTACCCCTTGCTGAGAAAAACTTTAAAGAATGTCCAGCATTACCCCTTGCTGAGAAAAACTATACAGAATGTCCAGCATTACCCCTTGCTGAGAAAAACTATACAGAATGTCCAGCATTACTCCTTGCTGAGAAAAACCATACAAAATGTCCAGCATTACCCCTTGCTGAGAAAAACCATACAGAATGTCCAGCATTACCCCTTGCCGAGAAAAACCATACAGAATGTCCAGCATTACCCCTTGCTGAGAAAAACTTAGACTGCAATCTCAGCAAAATCAATAACAAACACACTCTAAATGCATATGGCAGCCTTCAAAACTGCCAACACAAAAAATTATTACAGTTCATCGTCGACAGAAGTAGTAGTTTCAGCAAATGCGCATATCCAATAACATATAAGGTTTTACCAGTTCTGTGGCAACAGGCCACTCACCATTTTCTACATCTACAGTTCAGGGGAATGAAAACCAAAGTAAAGACAAAATTAAGTATATCTGTGAACTGAACAAAATAAACTGATTTATAAGAATTTTTTACAAATCAGATCTGACTCTGGCATGGAGGAAAAGGAGGGTGGTGGGAAGGGAGGTATCTATAGCTAGAATATTATGTTGTAGTTTGTGTGCTTTTAAAAGCAACTAAGAGCTCTCTATAAAGCCATTATATGTCTATGCAAATTTGATAAAACAATTTGTAAGTCACATGAGATATAGGAAGGCTTTAAACAGAGACTGGTTACAAAGATTGTAAACCATTCTTTTACAACTTGTTACAAGTTTGAACTTTCTGGATTAAATGAATGGGGTATTAGTGTGTTGTGATGGCAGACATGTTTTGAAGTAATAAACTTTGTAAGTGCTTTAATTCTGTTTCATTATTCTTCATTCCTGCTACTGAATTAACTATCTATGGATCTCCTTCCGTGACTATCACTAAAAAAAATTCCTTACCTATGATTATTACGCTCGTCAAAATCACACAGGAAATAATCTCCTTAACATTGGTAATGCTTTAAAAAAATATGTCATAATCCCTTTGAAAAACTTAAGGGAAAAAATCCTGTAAAAATAATTTCACACAGGTTACTAATAGTATTTTTTAAAATTAACTTTTTAATGCATTAAAAATATTTTTGCATCCAAATATACACAAGTTATACAAAGGGAGTAATCATTAAACATGAACACAGTGAACATTAAATTTTTTTTAATCCCAGCCTTACTTTTCATTTTATCTCTGTGATATATTCCTGAAATTTTTTTTTTTAAATCCTCATCATCACTGCCTCCAGACAGACACACACACAAAAAAAATGCATATACCCACACACAAAAACCTGAATGAGAGTAGACTACAAGGCACACCAAGAAGGCGGTGGAGAGGTAGTATACAGGCAGACTTTCAAACACACGGAATCAGCAACTAGAAATGGAAGACCAATCGTAGATGAAGAGCGGCAGGTGATATATTTAGCGCAATGAACTTCAAGGGTTCTGACTACTGAAGAAAGAAGAAAGGAGGAGAATAAGAAGACCAAAAAAAAAGGATAAACACTTACTCAATCTCAGCATTAGCTCCTTCATCAGCATCAGTGGCAGTAAAATTGGCAATAGCTCTCCCAGGTGGCTCTTCTTCGACAAGAGTCACAGACTTGACTGAAGTGTTGAACACTGGAGCGTTGTCATTGAAGTCTAGTATGGTAACTTGTATTTGTGTGGTGTTTTCTTGCCCTGGTTCTTTCCCCTTGACACGAAGTGTGAAGGTGAACACGTGTGGATCCTTCTCATAGTCTATAGCCTGCACAGCAGCAAGCGAAAAAAGTAACATTATTATACATGATTTTCTGCTTCCTAATGTGGGTTTCAGTAACCTATTGAAAGTTTGATTAGACAAAATGCCTCTTAACAAGCATGTCTTAAAAGCTGACTAATTAGGTGTTTGTTGAAAACAGATGTGTTGAACTGAAAGCTATCACCACAAAAGTTTAAAAAATTAAAAAAAAAAAAAAACCACAAGTAAAGGTCCCTTTTTGCACAATTTAGGCATATAGGGCTAGACCTATATTTTTATAGACCAATCGGCACAAGATGGGTAATGAGCATCACGCCGGCTACCTTTACTTCACCCGGTACCCACTCAAGGCTGGGTCGACCTGGGAGTCAAGGTCATTTTTGAAAAAAGTCTGGCTCCACCAGGAAGCGAACCCACGACCTTCTGATCCATGGAGAGCAACTAGCCGCTCCGCCACAGCGACTCCCAAAGATATCACAGCCAACCTGTTAACCCCCATTCAATGTGCCAAGCGAGCTTTCAAGGGTGAAAACAGAAGAAGAAAAAAAGATGTTCTACTCATATGTGTCTTAAGATCAGCAGCTTGACTGCAAGTTAAAGTTGAAGGACCCTTCTCAAACAATTTGCACATTACACATTTGGTGTTGAATCCAAATTTGTAAAAACTAATCAGAAATAAGAGACATATCTGGGCAACCACAAGTATCAACATTTATAAGACAGAAGATGACTCTTTATTGAGCACATCCTGAGCAGAAACCAGCAAAGAATCACCAAACAGGCATTAAAATGGGAGATAAAGGGATAAAGGAGGCAAAGACACCCAAAAAGAAACCCTAAGATGAACACTGATGAAAGAGGCCAAATCTGCTAGACTGGATTCCATCCATGATATTGAAGTGGTTGCACAGGATAGAAAGGATTGAAGGAATAGACAGTAAGCTCTATGTGACATAAAATGGCACAACTGGAAAATGAATGAATCAGCACTTGATGTGGTCAACATCACGCCAACCATCATTATTTCCCAAGATATTTCCAGATAAAAGATCATTTCTAGAATTGTCTAGGTAGGAAAATAAATGTCTACCCAATCTCACACGACATAGCCTAGAATGTGTTACAGTATCGGCTTTAGCTGTGTTCTTCATCTATTTTACAAATGTGGCCCACAAAACAGGGTAAATTGTTTCATAGCTCACCTGATGTCAGCTAACTAAATACAGAAACAAAAACAAATGTATACAGCAGTTTATTTGTAAAATCTGATGTCCCTAGATTACAATTTTCAACTGATGTGACATGTTTTTATTCTTATCCTTGAGTTGGTAATTCTACAGACAGCGGTCCTTGAAGAAAAACACAACCTTCGCTAACCCACAACATGATTAGGCAGCATTTTTTGGCACCCCACCTGGACTTTTCTGAGGCCCACATCTTAAAGAGCACTGTGCCATAAGACCAGTTTAAGATATAACTCCTTATGTGGGCTCCAGGACAACATTTTAGGAATACAAGAATAGACCCACTGCTTTGGTAGAATAGCATGTTACAAAGTCAACTAATTATGGGCGTTTCCTTTTGCCTTCAAAGTGCATCTCGCTCAGAGGTGAGGAACCAACAGTCTGCATACAAATAAGCCAGATCTGTAAAATGGATGTGCACACAAAAACTCAAGTTCTGGAACACAACTTAAGTCCAGAAGTGAAGAAACAAACTTTTCACTGGAGTTTACAGCCAGTAAATGTAAAGACGAACAAGATATGGACCTCCATTTTCCCAATTCAGGTTTTGTTGTCAATTCAGCATGTGTTTAATATGGGCATATTATGTTAGCTGGCTAAGTAATTCTTCACAGACTACACCAGTATATGTGCATCTTTGTGCATTATCTTTTCTAAGCATTCTGAGCCCTTGGGGTTCATTGCTGCAGATATCCTCCGCCTCCATTTATCTTTCTGACTAGCCTTCTCTATGCAATTGGTGACTTCAAGTGTTTGTAGATCTGCCAGTATGTTATTTTTTCACTGTTCCACCATCTTCTTGAGCTGCCTTGTGGTCTGCAACCATTTAACTCTATTATGTACACAGTTGTTGCCTCTCAATACGCCCCAGCCATTTCAGTCTATCTGCCCTCTTGATGCCAGTGATCAATGCTGATTTAATTAGATTACAAATTTCATTGTTGTTTTTCCCTCTCCATTCCCCGCTCTTTGCCTCTTTGATTATAATGCTTTATCTTATTTAACAGTGTTTCAAGTTTCAGAGCCATATAAAGCAACTCATTTCAAATAAATACCTATAAATACCTAATATACATAATATTCTGGTTGCAAGCAGGGGAGGTAACAAGCTGGAAAGTCATAAATTATGCAAGGTTATGCTAATGGTTAAAGATATCTAAATATGGTAAGATCTTTATGACCTTCCTTATCTATCTTATAAACAGTGTTTTAAGTTTCAGAGCCATATAAAATAACTCATTTTAAATAAATGTTCTTAGTTTAAAACCTACCTGATTCACATAGATAGCCGCATCAGTTCCAAGGGTAGTCACTGTAAAAAACTTAGTACTGCTTGTATTTCCTTCGAGGTTAAACGTCATTTCTCGATTAATTGGATCAATGTCCAAGTCTTTGGCAGGAATAGTTAATATTCTGCGGACGCTTTGATACTCCGACACCGACACACTGTCATTTGATGAGAAGATCATATTTTTGAGCTAATAATTATAATGACACATGATTCATAAATAGCAACAGGACAAAGTGTGATTAACAAATTATTAAATGGTGCAGTAACTCTTCTTTTATCTATACTTTTCCAACTTTAGGTTAGCAGTGTCAGACTTGGACAATAACCGAAGAATGGAGAGAAAACACTATCCATCTGTGAAATTGGATGTTTGAGAAAGGCTGCAAACAAAACCAGAAGAGATCATCATCATCATCATCAGGTGCCTTGCCAACTGGCATGGGCGATCATTCCTCTCCATAATCTGCGATCTCCTGCAGCATGTATTAGTTCGTGTGCCGACACACCTCCATGCCATGCAACAAGACTGTCAAGCATCTTCTTTCGTTGTCTTCCTCTATCCTTCCTTCCACAGATCTTTCCAGTGGTCACAACATGTTCTATTTTCCCTCTTCTCATAACATGGCCCAAAAATGATGACTGTCTCCAGAAGAGATCACGTGAGAAATTAAGAGATTAGAAGAACTACTGGAAGAATACCAATAATTACATTCACTGACAAACAAAGAAATGATTCAGCCGCCTAGTGAGAATGAATCTGAGATGCCGGCAGTGACAGCACACAGCCTGAAAATGGAAATACAAAGATACAGAGGGAGACCTAAAAGAAGATGGATGGTAGGAGTCACTTACAACCTGTCTCCACAATATTACAGCTTACCAAGCAACCAAACCTTCCATGGCCTAACCATCTATCGTCTGTTAAACTGTGATGCCTAGTGGCACAAAGTAGACATTGACAAAAGAAGAGGATTCTCTCCTTATTAACTTAATGTACGTAATATCCTGGTTGCAAGCAGGGGAGATAACAAGCTGGAAAATCATACATTATGCAAGTTTTTGCTAATCGTTAAAGATATCTAAATATAGTCAGATCTAAATGACCTTCCTTTTCTATCCTATTAACAATAAATCACAGAGAAATAAAGAAATATTTGTTTATTTACTACTAATTTCCATTTGATGCAGCTAAATATTTCAGTGATGAATAAATTTGCAGCAGTGATGTCAATTCTAATTTTTTTTTTAAATTAATGTTATCACCTGAACCCTATATCAGTAATTGAGTTCCGTCCTTTTAAGGATGAAATTTTTTGTTATTTGAAGCCCCACCCAGGCTTTTGCCAGGGACAGCAATATAGGCAGGCCATCAATATGGCCAATAGTTTGAACGCGGTTTCTGCGACCTCTCCACGGCGATCCTCACCCACATGGTGGCACATTGTGTCATCGGGTGTTTATCACTTGTGTGATGTCCTGGTGGGGTAGAAAGTCAGTCAGTCAGTCACCTGAACCCCATCCCAATGTAAGACATAATCTTCATTATTTAAAGCCCCACCCCGGCTGTAGTCAGATTCCCTAATATAACCTTATGGTTGAACAGGGTTTTTGAGAGTTGTGCCTGGATGATCCTCATCCAAATGGTGGTACTTTGATGTATATATGTATGTAAGTTGTACCCCACCAGTACATCACACAAACGATAAACACCCAGTGACACAAAGTAGATGGCATCACCCGTGGAGAGGTCTCAGAAACTCCTTTCAGCCATTTGGAAATATTTCAGGCCCGACTATATTTGGGGCCTCCAGCAAAAGCTAGGGCAAGGTTTCACAAAATATCTCAAAATTGCATCCCACAAGGAGATGATGAGGTACATAACTTTGATGTTTCAAGCAGAAACTACTGAAGAACATGTCCTCCAAATGTTATTTCTTGGCACACATATTGTTTAATGATCCTGACAACAGTAGTGCACATGTGCAAAAACTTTATTTTGAGAAAAACAGCCTTGACAGTTTCAACATGTTTAAAATCAGTCAGTCCACCATGTTTGGAACATCAGCTATTAATTTTTGTGATGTCTCAAGATCACTATACGGTTTTAACGGTAAAGAGGTCTAATATCTCACAGCTTACCTGTACAAATCCTTCTCAAAAAATGGTGGCTGGTCATTTATATCTATCAAAGACATGGTCGTTGTTGCTGTGGTTGAAAGAGATGGTGTCCCCTCGTCATAAGCTACCACTGCCAGATGGACAAACTCTAAAGTCTCACGATCAAGAAGTGTTACATTGCCTGTAGTATAGATGTCACCTTTCTGACTAACTTGAAACATAGTGGCAAGGGTAGGTTCTGGCTGATCTGGAGCTACTTTGAAATTCACAGTCCCATTATCACCAAAATCTCTATCAATGGCAACAACAGTCATGACTAAGGCATTTGCTGAGTGTTCTCTAATTGAATGTTGCAGTGTTCTTTGATCAAATTCTGGCGCATTGTCATTTATGTCACGAGGATAGACCAAAACATCGGCAAAATTATTCAGTGGGTTCTCAATTTCATCTTTAGCCTCTATTGTGACTGTGTAGAAATAAGGCGGGATATCTCTGTCTAAGGAACCTATTAACGAGACATTTCCAGATTCTGCATCAACCATGAATAATTGGTTAACATTAGACTGTGATGAACCATACAGAGAATAGCGCATAGTCTGTGGGCGGTCGACATCTGCATCTGTTGCCGCAACCTAGGATGAAAATACAGAAGCCAGAAATGGATTACAGACTATTTGTTAGTACAAAATTAATTTAATTACAATGGCCTATTAACTTTAAAGTTACAGAATATAGGTCTACATCACCAAGTATAATGAACCATATTGTTTAACTTTAACTTAAAAATGTGTATCTTTTTACATATTCTGTTATACATTCTATGACGTATGGTGTTAGTAGTCTAGTCCTATCTCTCCACAGCCTTCTGTCTGATGTATTTTCAGTCATCCTACATGCTGTGATGCCAAACTGTCCAGCATCTTCTCTCTTGGTCTCCCTCTGCCTCTCTTCCATTCCAATTTTTCCACAGTCATGACATACTCCAGGTCCTTTGCAGAACGTCACTCTCATCATGGTTTGCCTGAAAGAAACTCAGTCTCTTCCCAGCTCTCCCGCCTGATGTACTTTCATACTCAAGGAGTCACTTATATCCTGTGCCCATCTTTGTGTTGGTCGGCCCCTGCCCCTCTTTCCTGGTACCATGCCTTCTGCTTTTTTTTCTTTTCAATCCATCATGGCGCTTGATATGACCAAAATATTTCAGCTTCCGAGACTGGATGCGGTTTATTAGCCAATCTTCCTCAATGTTTAGATCTTTTAAGATATCAGTATTTCTCCTCTTCTCTGTCCAAGATATTCTGAGAATCTTTCTACAGAATTTCAGCTCTAAAGATGCGGCAACGAGCAGTGATTTAAATAAATTATGAATTTCATTGTTGCTTCTCCCTCTCCACTGTTTGCACTGTCTGGTAGGTCCAAAGACTCATAGCCTTTCAACAAATGACTGAAAATAATATTTTGCTTTGATCCTTTTTAGGGGAATTGATGCTCTTATATATTGTGTAATCGTTCTCTGAGGCTCTCTAGAGCTATCTATCTTCAGCATGTTTTCTATTGTCATAGGCTCAATGCAGTTTATAAAATATATAAGAATCTAAAACTAAAAACTCAAATTAGACAAAAACCACTCAAGCCATCTGAAAAGTGTAAGATAAATACAGAAAACACGCACACTCAGCTACAAACCGGCAACAGCGTGATGACAAAATAGAAAGCAGACGACAAACATTTTTATACCTGAACCAAGAAAAGTGGATTCTGTCTGGTAATGCTTTTATCTTCCTCTGTAACAGCATTTTCCACTCTGTATGGGTTTCGGATGAATATTGGGCGATTGTCATTTTCATCTAATATGTAAATCTGCACAGTTGTGGTTGCAGTGTGAAGCTGGTATGAATCTACAGCTATCAGGGTCAGGATGTATTTCTGGTTTTGAAAGAAACAGAGATACATTTCAGCAAGGATGGTAAATATTGAAACTGATGGACATTAGAGCTGCTACAATGCTTGCTGTTAAACATTAAAGTAATTTAATACTATGATGATTATCAGGCTGACATGTGTAGGCTTTCATGTTCTGCAATTTCATATGAATACCAGAATCACAGATCAGGTCAATGTTCTCCTCTTGCCACTATCATATGGCCAAGCCTTCAAGGCATATATTATTTGCCTTCTCCTTGATTTTTTTCCATCAATCTTGCTGACTGTTACTAAGTTCTCAAGTAAAGCCTTCCAATAACATGCATGAAAGACACACTGAAATTGACATTTTTTTTTTTTTTTGCATCTTGAAAAAAGACAGTTTGTCATTGTCCTCCTTCTTGGCAGTGACCATACTGGCTGGCGATTGTCACACTATAGTATGATCCTCTATCTACCATCAGGGAACTTAAGACTATGATCAACAAAAATGTCTGGTGTTATAAAATATTAACTGTATTTGTATCCATAGCAGTAGGAAAGAAGTAGTTAGATATTGAAAGGATTCCAATGAGAGAATATCAAGAGATTCAGTTTATCCCTCTGACTTTCTTCCCATTAATTTATAGTGAGTTACATCTTGAATGTTGAATTAGGAATCAACATCACAGCACTTGGGACACTCCCATAAGTGCTCTATCCCCCATCTTCAGCAGCAAGTGAAGAGATGAAATTCCGATGGCACCAGTAACCGTCTGATTGTCTTTCCGTCTCATCCTTCCCCTGAGTGTTGAACGTCAGCCAGATCCCTTAGTAACTCCTTGCAGCGCCATTCTCCTCAGACCGTCAGGATCTATCTGTGCCTCCACACTGTTCACTCATTCCCAAAGGGCCCTCACAACATTAAGCTTGTCATACATCAATTCACCACTAAGTGGTGCAAAATGCAGACCGGTCAGTCTATCTGCCTGCTCATTTTTGAAGTGATTTACATCTAAGTTGAGATAAACAAGTATGAACAAAGACAAAAATGGATATATAATTAAATTTCATGAGGTAAATTGTTAACCGCTTCACCACAAAGACTCTCTCTAGCACATGCACGGTCGCACACATGCATGCACGCTCGCACGCACGCACACGTGCGCACACACACACACACACACACACACACACACACACAAATAATAATGAAAACTTAGTTTTATTACCTTTGGTTCCTGTTGATTTTCATAGTCTAATTTTTTTGCCACTCTAATTTCACCAGTGATAGAGAAAATATTGAAAGCATTCGGTGTATTTCCATTGGTGACGAATCGATAATCTAATCCCTGGTCAACTAGGAATAAAAAAAAATTGAAAAGACAAGTATAAAATTATGTTAGAATAATAGTTAGCATTATTGTAAACATACAAGCATGTACATCATTCTACAGAATTTCTTTTGCAAAATATCACTATCATGTCTGAAAAACTGTTCTTCTTTTTCTTAGCGGCCACTCCTGGGCTTTGGTTTTGATCCATGTAGTGAGTCATTTTCTCCCCGATAAATTATGTGTAATAGTAGGAATGACGTAAGATCATGAATTTGAATTAGATATTTTAATTTACTGGGGGCGGACTGTGGCAAGAGAAAATGTTGGCCATAATGACCAAAATAAACGAAGAACTTAACCCAGGTGAAGCCTAAAGCTAGAAGATCATGAGCTTTGGGCAATCCAGAATGTGGGCCAGAGAAGATTATTTAATGCCCTAGAAAGATCTAGGAGTCAGTCTCATCTGGGTCAAGGAACTGTGTGCTTGTACAGAGGTGAACCTATTTTGAATTATATTTGATTGACGGCATGCATCTATTTGATTGTGAGATTCCAATATCCAACATGGCCAGAGTTTGACCTGCCATGTGCAGTGAACTGTTTGTGTTTGCCCGTCAAGGAAAGTTGTCATTTTCAAGCTGCCATTGTGTGAATGTTCATTTGTGTATTCCTGATAAGATGAAGTAATATTCAATAGATTGATGATCACCTAGACTATCTATTTGCCTCACCATACACTGGCCAAATAATCAGCGAGTAAGTGAACAATAAATAATGACAAGGCACCGTGTCGTTCATGCTGTCAATTTTCACCTACTCAGTTGAGTGTCAGTGATCGGGTGAGACGCTGGCAAATGACTGGAGCCAAACTGAATGCAAAAAGAGTCATTGCAATTCAGATCTAATTCAGATCTTGAGTTTTACAGATCTGGCATTTTTGTATGCAGACTTTTGGTTCCTTGCATCTTAGGCAAATGCAATTTGACTTCAAAAAGGAAACACCCTTGATTAGTCACCTCTAATGATATATTTATTTGAGGCAGTGGGTCTATTCTTTTTCATCTACAATGGGGCTAGGAGGCCACATGAGGAAAATGTAGACTAATTTCTGTAATAACATTTTATGTTTTTGTGATGTCTCTTAAATGTCTGCCTCAAATATTTGTTTATGTCTATCCAAGGATTCTTCACAATTTCCCAAGGGAAAAATAAAATATTCTGTGCCATTAGTTTTCTCAGCTTATCTGTTTTACCCCTCATGTTTATATCAATACAACAGTCATCATCATCAATTTCCATATTTGCTGTTAAGCGACGTGGGCAGGAACAATCTGCAATCCACTGGTTGATGGGCAGCACTGGCTTTTGTCACTCCATGTTGGTTTTACAAGGCCTTTTCTATCCTCAAGTCATGTTCTCCTAGGGCAGCGGTCAGCAAATCGCGGCTCGCGCGCCACATGTGGCTCTTTATCGACCTGAGTTTGGCTCAGCTAGCCACAAATTGGTTTTGACTGAAAAACAAGGTTCTTGACAGGTTCTCTCAAAGACATTTTGATCGTCCTGCTGATTACTGGCTCTTTTAACTAAAGAGTTTGCCGACTACTGTCGCAGGGCGACCTCTTGCTTTTACATCACGTGCAGTACTGTGTTCGTACTTATTATGGCTGCATTCTAATGAGGTGACCAAACCATTTGATCTTGTTTCTCAAATAATTTGGTGCATGGTGTTGTTTTCAGTCTGTCTGATAGTATCATTTATCACTTTGTCTTGGATGGTTAAGCTGATGACTTTCCTCAGGCATCTCATTTTACAGGTGTTAATTTTACATAGGTAAACTGTTGATAATGTTCAAGTTAGCACTTAGAGCACAGCATTGGTATGAATATGGTGTTTATAGTCTGTCATTTAGTGCTCATGCTTGCGAGCGCGGATGCTCTCCCTCTCTCTCTCTCTCTCTCTCTCTCTCTCTCTCTCTCTCTCTCTCTCTCTCTCTCTCTCTCTCTCTCTCTCCCTCGCTCCCTATCTCTCTCTCACATTAAATTATCGTTTTTTTGGTGTTTTTTTTACATACACAGATGCTCACGTATATAAACTCTATATATCTCAGTTATATCCCAACTGAGTTTATAATGACATTTTTGTGTGAAATACTACTATTACTTATTATATATCTTTCAGTTCCAGGTTGTTTAGCATCAGAGGACCAAGGGGTGGTAAGACAATTTTGATATGTTGCAAGTGTAACACTTTAAAATAGACCATATTAATTCAGCTGCTGTGCTTCAGACACATATCATGCACCAAAGGGACCAGCGATTGTTGGGGAATAACATTAGAATACTGCTATAACAAAAAATTGTATAAGCAGTAAAATGTTAGTAAATAAATGAGATGATTATAAAAATTAGTAAAATGAATTTATTTTTTTCACTTGCTGTCATTGCAATTAAGGAAAACTTGATAAAATATATCCAAAAATGAATCACAAAGGAACAGGAACGACTTGGTAATGTATTAATAAAATATAAAGACAATCTGTACATTAGATCTCATTCTAGAGAAACTTTTAGAACAGTATAACAGAGCACCATTATCTGGTAAAGAAAATGAACTTTTTTCAACACTCAGTTTGCCTGTAATTTCACAGATATATTCCTAAATAATAAGGAAATAGCACTAGAAATAGCTGACACTGAAGAAACAACCCACCTTTTTTCTCCCAATAATATTTATTCATTTGCACCAGCTCTGCATGAGGTATATATTACAGATATCCCTCATCAAAGTTTGACTCTATAAAAGACTGAAACAAGACTACATTGCTACTTTCTTTGCTTAACTTTGGATAAATCTGATAAACAGGTTTTATTTAAATTTGAGGCTTCTAAAACCATAAATCTTGTTGGCATGCACGAAGACCGCGCTCAGTGGTCATGTTTTCAAACAAATTTATTGACTTATAAAACTCACAAAACACACTACATTTTACACTTTTCGCCACATTTCCGAATAAACCTAGTGGTTACCAGGTGTGTTATTGAACATAAAGAACCGGGAAAAGCCATTTAAAACTGCCAGTTCATATTTATAAACTGCCAAAATGGTAAATTAAAAACATGTACGAGTTACACATTGACTGGGTCGCTCGGTGGTTAGAAAAAAGCACATAATGTGTTCCTTGGGACTCAGAAAGATATCAAACAATGGGTATTTATACTTGTTAGCAAACTACTCACTCTCGTCCGGATCTATGGCTGTGACATAACCCACCAGAGACATGACAGGAGCATTCTCGGAGACATTAAATGTGTACAGCGGCTCAGGAAATACAGGGGGGTTGTCATTCACATCAGCCACAGTAACAATCATGTATCTGGAGGCTGAAATTCAAAGTAGCAAAATGATGTCGAAAGTGGTAAGAGAGATACTCTATTTACAAGTGTATAGGCCACATGTGTGTAGGCCACATGTGTGTAGGCCACATGTGGGTATAGTCCATATGTGCATAAAGGCCACACGTGCGTATAGGCCCCATGTGTGTATAGGCCACATGTGTGTATAGGCTGTACCTAGTTTCTCAGATAATTTTTGGGGGAAATAATCTTCTTAGATTTTCATCAACAAACCAAAACCAAAACAGTAGTATATGTAAGCAGTGAAAGATGGCCTACGTGAGAATAAGTTACAGTTGTAAATTTTAGATGTTAGTGGTGCGTTATGTGAAAGTAAATTTAAAGCCAGTTTTGCCTGGCAAGGTGTTTTATGACACAAAATGACCTTGTGATTAGGCTAAAGAGACATCTTATTCAAAGCATATTTATTCCAACTCTGAGCTACCAGTGCCAGACATGGTCACTCACAACAAACCATAAAAGAAAATTAGTAACCACAGAAATGAGATGTCTGAGAAGGGCTGTAGGAGTGACCATAAGAGATAAGATCAGGAATGAGATCATAAGAGAACAAGTCGGCACAGAACCAATTCTGGATTACATACAAAGACAGCAAGTGAAATGGTTTGCCCACTCAGAGAGAATGCCTTGTGACACCATACCATACAAAGCATACATGGAAAGAGAAGAAGGAGGTAGAGCACGGGGTAGACCAAGAACAAGATGGAAGGATAACATCACAGAAACTCTACAACAGCACGATGTGCCTATGGTCGAGGCAGCCAGAAGAGCTAGAAACAGAACCTTATATCTCCCTCCACACCCACAGCGGTAAAAGAGGAAGTGAAGAAGAAGAGAAGAAGATTAGGCTAAGGACAACTATGGTGCATCAACTTCCCAACACCTACAAAGAGAAACTGTTTCATTTCAAAGTCATGTTCTGGTTAGAGAAGACACAAAACTACAGAATCCAGATGAAACTCCTGTTTATCAATAGATTATGTACAAGTGACATGTAGGCCTAATATCTCAAATATATAACACACCTTAATTTTCATCAACGATTTTTTGTCAAAACAATGGGCCTATACAATACGGTACCTTTATCAAACATTTAAAAAAAAATTAATAAAGTAACATAAAAGTTTCTTTTTCTTTTTTTGGCATCACACTTTTACCAAGTTGAAGCTCAATGTTGAAATTTTCTGTATCTGTCTTGCACTTTGTGGGCAGCTTGAGCAATGGTTTTGTTAACCTTTTTTGCTGGTTTCAGCTTGCTTTTCCTCTCACATTCATTCCACTAAATGTTCTGCTGGTAAAAGGTATCACACAGTTTGTTCTAGGTTTGTTCTTACTAGATGGCCGAACCATTTATAAAATAAAATATTCTTTTATTTATTGAGTAATGCTGTTATAAAGACTGGGAAAAATCAAGATGAAATCAATAATGTGTGGTGACAGATGAACACTTACCAGTGTTTGGTAGATTAGGGTTAAGTGCATTAGGGGGTGATGCAGGAGCTCCATCCTGCGCCACTATCTCCAGTGTATACTGAGATACATTCTCTCGATCAAGCTTTAAACCATTTGTAGTTACTATCTCTGCCCTGTTATTGCCAAGATCATTTATCTGAAACAAATCTTTGAACTTGTCTTCCAGGAAAAAGGTTACCTGAAAGGATACAGTTAACATTTTCAGTCCCACAAGGTTTCCAAGAAGACATACAAATGAAATAATAACCACAATGAAAGCAAATCAGCATATTAGTGTCAAAGTGGCAATACATGGGGCACTTTATATTAAAATTTGTAGCCAGGTTTCCTTAATATACTCAGGCCAAATGTTAAAGACAATAGTATACACAATCTGGTATAAGACACACATAAACAGTATCTGATCACATACAGTACATTTCTTGGAATAGAAAGAGTTAATAAGCATATAAAAATTAGGAAGCCAATAGGGGCTCATCTCATCTCATCTTGATTCCCTTGTACCCTGCTGTGTCCAGGTGAAGTATAATTTACGCTTCATAAATTGGGATTCCTAGGGACTGCTTGCATGGTCGGTCACTTCTTTGTTTCTCACCTAGTCTGTACATCACTGTTTGCTATGGTATACTGTCTGCTGACATCCACGCTATATAACCGAACTATTTAACCTGTTGTCTTCCAATGATATCCAGAGCTGCTGCTACTCTAATTTTCCTTTGGAGTTCATCATTTCTGGTCATACCTCTTCTTGTTATATTGAGAGCCCTTCACAGGAATCTCATTTCAGTCATTGCAATTTTTTTTAAGTTTTCTTTTTGTCATTGTCTAGCTCTGGCATTGATAACACATGGTTGACAAGAAAGAAGACTGTGTCATACATGGAGTGCACTTTTGATTTCTATTGATACATGTTTGTTTCTTAGGTGCTTATGAGCTGAAATGCTATAGAAGGATTCTCTAAAAAAAAAACATGGAGACATGAAGAAAAAGAAGTACTGACATCCTAAAAAATATAGTTGTGAATCCTTTACAGGATGTTGCAGAACCAACTCCAGCATTTCTTGGCTGTTGTGGTTTTACTAGGCACATTTAACATTCAGTAGTTTGCCACTGCTTACTAAACAGTCAGCTCTCAGTACCATTGTCGAAACCAATGCAAGACAAATCGACCGCAGCTGGGATCGAACCTAGCACCTCACCATTACAAAGCTTGTTCGCAATGCCTAAGCCACAGACGCCGACTGACATCCTAAAAGATCTAAAAATCAAAGAAAATTTGCTCATAAACAGCATCATTTCTTTGAAAGTTGAATATTAAGAGCCAAAGCGGAATAAAAAGAACAGTTGAGGAAAGCATTATATTAATAAAAAGGGGCAGGGGTCGACTAGCATAAAGGTGGGCACAGGATATGCTAGACACCTTGGGTAGTTAAGTGGATGAGGCGGGAGAGCAAGGTTCTATTAAGGACCTGATATATGATGATGATAACTTATAATACTACTTTGACATGTCACATGGTTTATCAATCTCATGCTGTTGTTAATACTTTTCAATATATTTCAACTTGTTCATTACTGGAAGAAAAAAAGTAATCTCTTCCCCGTGTGGGTTCTGGGTTTCACAAGACCTTCTGCTTATCCAAAAGCATGTTGTAGGGGCCAACTGATTAGGAGCTTCTTTTTAAGTCGGACTGCATTTGCCTGAGAGGCAAGTAACAAACAGCCTGCATACAAATCAGTCAGATCTGTAAAACTGTTGTGCATGCAACACTCAGTTTCTGGAACAGGACTAGATTCCAAAAAGAGAAAGAATAACCTGAACTTTCGGCCGGAGTTTACAAATGGTGAACATGAATAACACGAAACGAATCTCTTATATTCACTAGAAAACACAGTTCTTACCGTTTTATATGCTACAGTAGTGTCCTTATCCCCGGCTGTGATTGACATAACAGTTTCTCCGCCCTGTGCATTTTCCGACACTGTTCCTCGATAACGACCATTAGCATCAAGCCCTACAAACTCTGGCGGCTCATCATTGGCATCAACAACATTTATAATCCGAGTCAGCAATTTTGCACGTAAAGCCTCAGCATTCAAAGTCTGTTGAGAAAAGCAAATCAGAGACAGTTCAGAATAAAGTGCTCTTAATAATTAACTGTTATGTCAGAGCCATACAACTGGCGGCTCGTGGGCCAAATCTGGCTTGCATAGGCCTACCAACTGGCCCAAGGATCACCTGACAAGTGTATTGTGTTAATGATCTTTCTCATTCTATGAATATTTTGGCCAAACAAAATCACAAATGAAGAACTGAGGAGGAAAACAGAATGTGCATCACTGGCAAATGTTATCAAAGTAAGACAATGGAGATGCATGGACATGTTTGCAGAATGCCTTGTGACACTCTGGCAAAAACAGCTCTCTGGTGGACAGCAGATGGGAAAAGGAGACGTGGACGACCTAAGGAAACCTGGAGAAAAACAGTAGAATGGGAAATGAAGGAATGTAAACTGACATGGAATACCATGGGCAGAAAATCAGCAGACCAGGAGCAATGGAGATCACCTGTGAATACCTTATGTGTCAACAGCGACATGAAGAGGATATCGAGATATAGAATGATCTTTCTATGACGGGTCATGGGCCTATGAGGATTCCCATTTTCCAACATTTTTGCCCCTAGGTAAAGCTTACTTGAATGACCCTGCTGTATGCTAATACTGGCACTTCATTCTGACAAAAAGGACAGCTGCACTAACACATTAAAACTGTATGCGATGACAATGTGTGTTATAAAAGTGGACTGTTCTACAATTTCTGGTTGCTGCAACTGTTGTGAACATTCACAGCTGTTTGTGTGTTGTGTATGAAAGTTGTGAAGTAAACATAAAAGCACTGTTGGTCACTGGGTTAAAAGAAAGTGGACACATGGACCTGCTTAATTAGCTGGGCTCTTGACATCCTGCTTCAACTATAAATTCAAACATGATGAAATGTGTTGATGTAATGAATCGTAAGGACAGGCATGTCATATGTTAACAATTAGCACTGCACTTTCATTAGCAATGGAATCTAACAATTAGCACTGCACTTTCATTAGCAATGGAATCGATCAATTAGCACTGCTCTTTCATTAGCAATGGAATCATCTTTGAAATTATTTAGTCTTTAATTTTTATCAATTCATAAAATGGGTTTTGCAGAGTCTCAAAAAAGGGCACAGATTTCCAAGCAAATCAATTTGTTCTGAACTGTTGAAGTGTTTTGATGCTGAAGGGAACAAAAGTTTTGTCCAGGATTATTAGGGTCATAAAACATGGGATCAACATTATGAGACTGAGATGAAATGTAGTCAATGGAGTAGCATAATCCACAATCGCTGCGCAAAAATATATCCTCGATAGTAGGATAAGTCATGGTCACCGTCTTTGGGAAATTAATAGTGTGAGTTTTGTGGATGTGATGCCAAAAGTTGAGAAGATCCACTCCAGAACTTAAACTGCATAATATTACGCCATAGCTGTTAACATGTTTATTATAATCAGCATATATAACCAGTTGCATAGGAGTGAGGCAGCAGGCAAGGAGAGAGAGAATCAGTAAACATGAAATGAGAAGAAATTATGGGTAGTGGAGCCCTAGATTTTATTAGAAACAGCAAATAAAATTATTCAGCCAGTAAAATCAGCTACCAACAGACAGTGTACAACAAGAAGCAATGATGAAAAGACTAAGTGAAATCTGAAAGAGAAGCTGACTGTGTAAATAACGAACAGGGTGAATAACAAAATTCCTGAGAACCTCTATATAAAAAGCACACAAATGAGCACTCTTCTACTGTTTATACTTTAATTCAATACAGCAAGATGCATTAAAAACAAGGTAAGACTAAATAATCTAATAGTTGGCTTCGCTTTGCTTGATTTTTATTTTAAGTATGTTGCAAAAGTTGCTTATTCTCTGCAAAAAGAAATAACATAAAATGTGTTTTACATTTTCTTTACCTGGCACACAATTGACAGTGTGTATGACGTCTGTGTTTCATAATCCAGAGGGTTCCTTAATGACAAGTTCATCTTTGACACCCCACTGTCAGTAAATCTAATGAGGTCAAAATTTTTCGAGTCTGAAGTGATTGTAGAACCAGCATCAAAAACTCGAAACTCTACACCAGTATCACTCGAATTTGTCTGACAAGCCAAGGTTGCGATCACGTAACCCTTTGGTGTATTTTCAGTTACATTGTAAGAAGCCTCATCTGGTTCATCATTGAGCCACCTAAAATAGAATTAATCAGTTTTGTGTGAAACGGCAGCTGATAATCAGAAACTATAACAAATACTGGTTTTAAAAAGCATAACCTATTAGTTCTACAGTTTCAGCAGAAATAATATAATTAGGTAACATTATATAAATTTGTCCATATATCTTCTTCAAATACACTGAACTGTAGGCAACATGAAAATGTGACTTGAAATTCAATTATAATTCATAACTCATGATATTTAAAAAAGAATGCATTTTAGCTTTAAAAGTTGTTTTGTTGTTTTGTTTGTTTTTAAATGACTTGAAATATGAATGCAAATGTTTTTTTTTAATTCTAAACATAGATTCAGAACACATTATTCTGTACAAATGTGAAACTTCTTCACTGAATAGACAGATAATTATTGGAAAGAAGAAGCTCTAAATCGGGGGAAAATACATACCCAAAAAAATGTATTATTTTTATTCATGTGATGTTTAAGGCAACTGTCGTATGGTTGGTTTATGTGGTCCTGCAGCTGTTTACTTTCATTGTGGAATATGCACTCATCGATAAAGAGCAGCTCATTGAAGTCCTCCTGTTTATCAACATCTGGTGGTGTTTTGTCTATTTTATTAATATTGTCCCATGAATATTATAAAAAGTAAACATGAAAGAACACAGCCTTGCCTGACTCCAGATGTTACTGGGAACCAGTTTCTGAGGCCAGTTCTTGTTCTGATGGCGCTTTCACTTTCTCTATAAACAGCTCTTACACAGTCTACTCAGGACCCGCTCCTGGTGTCAGCTGGAGCCGGTCATGGTCTAGCACCGTTCCATCTTTCTCTGATCTTACCCTCTTCATGTTTGGGTCTACCTTGACTGTCATCGGCATATTCTGATGGTTGGAATGGGTTATTATTCTTATTCTCTCTCTATTATTCTCATTGCTTGCCCATAATAATGTTCACACACTGAATCATCATCAAAGTCCACATTTGTCACTAACCCTTCACCCCAAGATAGCACTTCCAGTTGGGTCTGGCTCCCTGTACACATGTTTCTGACTTGTCTTTAGTGATATAGTGACCTCTTTTCAAGAGGCATAGTTAAATGTTACTGGCTGTTTTCATACATGCGCAAATAATTAGGATTAAATTGCTACCACTACTTACACTGGCGGCCGCCTTCTATCAAAACTGATTGTCACATTTACAGTTGTATTTCCAGTCAAAGGGTATGGGTCCTTTCCGTTGTCATTAGCAACCACAATCAGAATGTAGAAAGTTATCTACAAAGAAATTTTCAATTATAACTCATCATTTGAAATCATAAACACATATTGTCTTAAATATACATTAAAAGTAATGTTATACAAATTATTAACTGGTCAAACTATGCAAAAAGTGATGACTTTTGTGCATTAAATTTTTTTTTTTTTTTTGGAACTGTTTAGTGTGGCCTTATAATTTCAGTTACTTCTTTTTTGTTCACCGGCTTTAAGCTCCAGCAGAAAGTCCTGGCTGTTCATCAGTGTTGCCACTTTTCTTTGACAAAAAATATCCAAAATGGTGTCAAAAAATATCTAAAAAGATCTAAATCTGTGTGGAAAAGATCTAGAAAAAACATCCAAATTGAAAAAGTCAAAAATTACATAGCTTCTGTTATGACTTTCCCTACATAATCATGTCCTAATCTTCACTGATGTCTGCCTCACAAGATCCACAGGATAAACTTAGCTTGAATAATGAAGTTGAAGCTTCAGATCCAAAATGACCCTTGTATGCTTTAGCTGTTCAAATTTCTGTATAAGTTGAACAGTAGGCTTATTTCCCTAGTCTCATCATGCGGAATTTTAATGGCACGATAGCCTTTAGAAGGTCAAATTTCATCCTGTTTCTTAGGTTAGATTTGATATAATTCCTAGCACTGAAAACTCTTTCTACGTCAGCACTTGAGTGGGGTAGTATCATGGCAGACATGGTCTTGCAGTGGATACCAGCCCACTGTGGTATTCAAGGAAATGAGAGAGCAGATGAGTTGGCAAAAGCTGGGAGTAATCTTCCACAACCTCATCCACCACACAGCTACAAGGAAACCAAAACAGCGCTAAAGCAGTCTTTCAAGCGGGAGTGGAGAAGGCAGAATGGAGATTACATACCAGAGAGTGACAGCATAAACAAACTCAACAGGAAAGAACAAACATCAATTTTTAGACTTCGGACTGGACACTGTGGTCTTCGAGCACACTTGTACAGGATAGGCATAAAAGAATCTGCTGCCTGTGATTGTGGAGCAGAAAGACAGACCCCTGAGCATATACTACAAAACTGCCCTAACCCTCTCCCAGGCAAAGACTGTGGATCTGTTGCTTGAATAATGAGGAGCCACATCTTGCGAGAGAAGTTGCTCTTTCATTCTCTGTTAACGTGGCGACGTTTTTAAACGCATTAATCCTATTTATGACCCACACGGGACTCAATGTTTAGCATGACTGATATCGAACGCAGAAGAAGAAGAAGAAGTTAGCAACACCAGTCTTTTACCAGCTGAGTGAAATAGCAAAGTGAGATCAACAAGTAATTTAACTTTATCAACATGTTTAGATTTGAACAGTTTATTAACTTGTTTCCATTAGAATAGGTTATAAAAAAAGAATGAATGACACATTTTTTTTCATCACTGTACATTCCATATAGTATTTCACTTTTCACTTTGTCTTGTTATTTCAAAGTGTGTCTTCAACTTCAACCATTGCTTCATAATTCTTTCAACAGCTGGTTAAATTGATAACAATCTAGTTTTGCAATCTGACAGAATTTTCTGTGGTGTGGAACCATCATTCAAGGCTGTATATAATGTATTGTATTGCTGATGTCTGACAAATGATTTGGAAAACTAGTAAAGTGTTTCAGCAATAAGGTATTCCAAATTCCTTGGTAAATATTTAGATGAAGCATGTGATAATGCTAGCTGCAATGAATGACGCATACATTTTATAAGTATTAACGATGGGATAGCTTCCTTCAACTTGGCATAAACGCCATTGTTTATACCAACCATCACTGAGGCATTATCAGTACCAATTGCAGCCAAATTCTTCAAGCCTAAATGTTTGCCGATTAAAAGGTCCTTCAGTTCCTAAACTATACTTTCTACATCACATATTTCCAATTGAACTAGTCCAAAAAATTTTTACTAAATCGATCAAATGGTCACAGTTTGAAATTGCACAGTGGCAAATTAAAAACATTGCGACTGATACTTCAACTTTTGATGATTCATTCATCAGTATAGTTCTGAAAACAGATGTCAGCGGTGTAATATCTTTAAATTGAACTGCAGTTTTATGCTTTTTTAGTCTCCACATGACTCTTTGAGTTTTGTATTTTCGCTTTAATTTCACACTTGCAGTACTTACAACGAGCTTTGGTCATATCCCCAGGAACTGCCATCACAGTTTTTAATTTTGTCATCATGCAACCACTCTTTCCAAATTTTTGGCTCATACTTTACTTTTGGCATGTTGAAAGGTTTTTTTTTAAAGTGAAAGCCACATATGAAGGTGAGCAATTATTTTTTTTTTAAATCACATGAAAAAGAAACGCAAAGTCAGCACAGTGAGGATACGGTTGAAACAAAGTTAGTATGATTTACGCGGGTTTTTATTAATCAGTACCGGGGCTGCAAGATATTTGTGCGTTGACCCCAGTGAGAGTTCAAAGTTCAAGTAATGGCAGTTGTCACAATGTACGTGCCAGACCAAAACAAAAATATTGTAGTTAAATATTTTACACAGTAATTATTAAATTGACACTGAAAGAAAAAAAATCTATAAAATATCTAACTCAATTAGAAAAATTTCTAGAAAAATATTTACGATCTAAATCCCAAAAACAATATCTAAATGCAATGAAAAAGATCTAGATTTTGATGTAAAAGATCCAAAGTGGCAACACTGCTGTTCATCCACCTGGACTATGGCTTCATGCCAGGGCCTATAAGTTTTGCGCGTACATCTGTTTTACTGGCTTATTTGTGTGGTTCCTTGCCGCTCAGACAGATTCACTCCGACTTCGAAGGAAGCTCCCAATTAGTCCACTCTTTTAACATGCTTTTTTTGTGTGTGTGTGGCTATGCAGTGAGTCTATTCTTGTTTTCCTCGCTGGTGCTACAGATAATACAGAGTTCATGCACTGCACTGAGATTCTTCGCGGACTCAGACTTGAGTTAGAAGTAGAATGGAGTAATTATGGGTAACTGCCCTTGTGCCATGATCTTGATCCGTTGTTTAACACCTAAAACCTAAACCTATTCTTGTTTTCTCCCACAATAGCGCCTGGGATTCATTGTCAATTAAGACAAGAAAGAGAATTCTTAAAAGTTATATAAATCCTATATTGATATATGGATGTGAATCATGGACAGTTACTAAATTAGTGAAAACTTATTTGGAAGCTGTGGAGATGTGGTTTTATAGATAAATGATAAGAATACCCTGGACAGATAAAAAGAGTACTGAGGGCATCTTGAAAGAAACTGACTCATGAAGGGAACTGACTGTCCACATCAGAAAGAGACAATCTACATTCTTTGGTCATGTGATTAGAAGGAGAAAACTGGAATACGTCGTGACGGTAGGAAAGTTGGAGGAGAGGAGAGTACAGATACTGGACAGTTTGACATCATGGCATGAGAGATCATCTGTGTCAGAGTTGGCTGAAAGTACACAAGACAGAAGATTGTGGATAGACATGACTACCAATCCCACATGGCATGGACTTTGAGAAGAAGCAGCCTGGGAACCCACATGGGGAATAGCCCTTTCTACAATCATTGTACTGTGAGGCAGAATCACCAATTTCTTCCTCTACTTCCAGCCCAACATCATCCAGCAGTATTTACCAATATTACAGCTTGATGCAGAGAAATTTCATGTAACTCTAAACTTCAAAATTTTCATTTCTTCTTCTTTTGTTAAATTCACCAGCTATGAACTCCAGTAGAAATTCTGGTTGTTCATCCACTTCTAAACTTTGGTCTGTTCCAGAATTTTGAGTTTTAGATGCAGATCTGATTTATAGCTACATCTTATTTGTATGTGGACTGTTGGTTCCTTGACCCTCAGGCAGATGCAGTCTGACTTTGCAGGAAACACTTCTAATCTGTCGCTTTGTACTTCAGGCTTATTAAGAGAGCAGAGGGTTTATTCTGTTTTTTTTTTTCTTTCCTTTCCAAAATGGGGCTCTGGAACCCAAGAAGGGAAATATTAATTTAAAATAATCCATATAGTTCAGAAATTCTTCTTCTTCTTCGCGTTCACCAGCTGTACACTCTGGTGAAAAGTTCTGGTTGCTCATCCACTACTGAACTGCAGTCCTGCTCCAGAACCTGAATGTTGCGTGTGCATCAGTTTTACAGATCTCATTCTCTTGAATACAGACTTTTGGTTCCTTGCCTCTCCGGCAGAAGCACTCCGACTTCAAAGGAAGCTCCCCAATTAGTCGACTCTTACGACATGCTTTTGGGGAGGCAGTGGGTCTATTCTTGTTTTCCCCCACAACGGGGCCCCGGAACCCATACGGGGGGTTCAGAAATTAATTTAACTATTTATTTAGTTGGTTTTTTTTTCCCCATAACTATTATCAACTTACGCTCTGATTCAAGGGCTGTACAAGTTTAATGACTCCAGTCTGGGGGTCTATAGAAAAGACAGACAGAGCTAGTGTATCATTCATGCCAAATGAGTATGTGATATTAGCATTGGCTCCAACATCCTTATCTGTTGCCACCATTCTAGTGACAATCTGGAATAAAAAAACAGCATGGTATATTTAATACAAACAAAAAAACCTTCTGCTAAACAAATTATTAAACATTTTTAAATAACACTTGTTCTGTTTGTGTGTGTGGGGAAGGGGGAGGGTTAATTTGCTGTCAGAAACCATGAATGTAACTGCAGACCTCACATCAGGTTTATATATTTTTTTTTTATATCAGTGAATATAATAGTGCAGTTATTATGACTGGTCCAGCAGTAGAGAGAATTGATGTCCTCAATGCCATGTGAGATGCATACTGCAAAGATGATTATGGCAATAAGCATGAATACATATCTTTGCTCAAATTGGTGTATATGGGGGTACATTCTGAATGGAAGATTCCTTGTAGAGATTTGAACAAGAATATTCATTAAAAAAAAAAGAAAAAAAGTAAAGATCCCTTTTCACGCCTTTGGGCGCATCGGGCATATGGGCAGAGCATCCCATATTTTTACAGACCATCAGCACTCGGTGGGTAATGTGGTCAGCATTACGCCGGCTGTCTTTACTTTCCCAGGACAGCCCATCCTGGTACCCATTTTAGGCTGGGTCGACCTGCGACGTCCCCATACCATGACAAAAATCCACGCAGCCTGCAGTGGGTTTCGATCGCGGTACGCTGGCTTACGAGTCAGACTCGCAACGCCTTAGCCACGGACGCCGCAAGAATATTCATAGCTTCTCTAAAATGGAAAAAAAAAAAAAAAAATGAACAAAAACCTGTCATTTACAGTGAGAAAGAGAACACTGAAGTGCTATAAGAGCATAATTGAAAGAACAGAAAACAAAACAAAAAACAATCATGGTTTCTATGGAAAATAAAATGAAATATGAAGGAACTGAGAAAACAATGTAGCAGTCCTTTAAAAAAAAAAAAACTTTACCTGATAACAGTCCACACTTCTTGTGTGTGTGTGTGTGTGTGTGTGTGTGCATGCGCGTGCTTGTGTGCGTGCGCGCATGTGTGGCAAGCTATAAGATGAAAGAAATCTAAAAACAGTGACAAATACTTTGGTATACAAAGTGTGCGAGCAACAACTATCTCAGGCTCAAAAAGTGTTAACTTTTTTAGAACAGCACTAATGACAAATCACGAAGTAATATTAAAAAAACAAAAGGAGAGCTAAAAAAAAAAGCAAAATATAAATGTTTTTAATTCTTAAACTTACAATTAACATATTGTACCATTATACGTCACAGAGGGCTTGCAACTGATGCCTTTATTTCATTCTGTTCATTCCATTATTATTTTTTCCACCATCATGAATAGAATCTGGTCTGGTCTGGCACCTACGGCCTATATTATCAGTATTCAACAACAATGAACACCCAAAAAAAAAAAAGATTTCTTTTGCATGTCCTCACTTCCTCAATCTATTTGATCCCCCTATTTTAGTGCCTTTTTTTAAATTCTTCATCCATTTTGTCAAAATGCACCAATCAGATCACATTCTTCATTCTCTTATAATTGTTAATATTTGTTACCACAGTAAATAAGCAAAGGACCCTTTTTATGCCAGTGTGCATTGCTAGACTTATATTTTTATAGAAAAATCGGCATTCCGTGGCTGATGTAGTCATCGTCACGCTGACTGCCTTTACTTCCAAGGACAATGCCTGGTACTCATTTACGTTAGGGCAACTGGAAGCCAACACAATCATCCATTAATTCTTTCTTACAACCACAAAATGCATAGATATATATTAAAAAATACTTACATATGGGGGAAGAGTAGAGAAGCTGAGGGGAATGGTATACAGTGCTTGTGAAAACGTTGGTGGATTATTGTTGATGTCTATAATAGAGACTCGAAATGTACATATGCCTTCCATTAGAGGATTTGATGGCGGATTACGACCAACAATGGTTAACTATAGGAGGAAATAATAAGACCATTGTTAAAGAATAACCAGCAGAACAAGTGTGTTTACAAACATAGTATACATGCATATTTACCCAGCAGAACAAGTGTGTTTACAAACATAGTATACATGCATATTTACCCAGCAGAACAAGTGTGTTTACAAACATAGTATACATACATATTTACCCAGCAGAACAAGTGTGTTTACAAACATAGTACACATGCATATTTACCCAGCAGAACAAGTGTGTTTACAAACATAGTATACATACATATTTACCCAGCAGAACAAGTGTGTTTACAAACATAGTATACATACATATTTACCCAGCAGAACAAGTGTGTTTACAAACATAGTATACATGCATATTTACCCAGCAGAACAAGTGTGTTTACAAACATAGTATACATGCATATTTACAGATGATTATTTACCAAATTTACTCATTGAATTTAAGTCCTGGTTGTCCATTTCTGGAGTTTGGCCCTGTTCCAGGATACAATATGTTAAATAGATCTGGTTTATCCTGTGCAGACTATTGGTTCCTTGCCTCTAAGACAAACGCATTCTGACTGAAGAAAATGGCCAGGCTCCCAGTTGAAAAACCGTTTCTAGGAAAACTATGGAGATTAGTAGATGGTTTAATATCCTGCCACAGAGAAACATCTGTGCTAGAAAATATTTATATTACACAAGATTGAAAGCTGTGGAGAAAAATGGCAACTAACACGGACATGGCAACTTATAGGCTATAAAAAGAGGAAAAGTAGAATTAAGCAGCAGCTACTAAGTTCACTGCCAAAACTGCAGAAATGTTCTTTTTTTTGCAACGCTCTCGTAGATGAACTAGCTGCTCTGCATGCACATGCATGCATGCGTACAATGATACAGAGAGAGAGAGAGATGGGGGAGGGGAGGGAGGGGGAGAGAGAGGGGGAGGGAGGGAGAGAGAGGGGAGGGAGGGGGAGAGAGAGAGGGGGGAGGGGGAGAGAGAGGGGGAGGGAGGGGAGAGGGAGAGAAAGAGAGAGAGGGGGAGGGAGAGAGGGGGAGGGAGAGAGGAGAAAGGGGGAGAGGAGAGGGAAGGGGAGAGAGGGGAGGGAGGGAGAGAGATGGGAGGGAGGGAGGGAGAGAGAGAGAGAGAGAGAGAGAGAGAGAGAGACTGAGAGAGAACAAACAAGCAAAAATTTTAAAAGGTCACAAACTGGAGCCACAGCTGGTCTTAATTCGACCCTTCCCAACACTTATCTTTCAAACAGTATCTGCACTGTATTTACAAAGCATGTTATGTTCATAGCAAATTCATGCATGCATATACTGACAGAGAGAGAGAGAGAGAGAGAGAGAGAGAGAGAGAGAGAGAGAGAGAGAGAGAGAGAGAGAGAGAGAGAGAGAGAGAGAGTGTGAGAGAGAGAGAGAAATAGAGAGGGAGAGGGGGAGAGAGAGAGGGGGGAGAGAGAGAGAGAGAGGGGGGGGGGAGAGGAGAGGGAGAGAGAGAGAGAGAGAGGAGAGAGAGAGAGAGGAGAGAGAGAGAGAGAGAGAGAGAGAGAGAGAGAGAGAGAGAGAGAGAGAGAGAGAGAGAGAGAGGGAAACAAACAAGCAAACATTTTTAAAAGGTCACATCTACTGATTGTTCCCATGAGAAGTTGATTACAGTGTCTCCTATCTTGACCTCAGAGACATTTTTATAGGTATTCAAAACAGGCAGATAAATGTTGATAGAATGTCTTCTCTGTCTGTATTTAGCACTGTAAGACAGGGTGGGGTCAAAGAGGCTTTGAGCATCAGGGTCTAGGGCCACATGGCTAGTTCAGTCACCATGGACAGTGCAGGTTAGGATTTTGTTTTTTCCCTGACAGTAAAATCCTATAACCTTATTGATTATTGAACCTGGGTCTCTCACATGAAGGCCAGTATTCTTTCTGTTTTTATCTTAATGTTTAAGTAAAGTAAAGGACCCATCCACACCTTTAGGTGTCCTTAGACCTATATTTTTATACGGACATGGGTGATGTTATAGTACTTTCCGGGATGCAAACACCGGTACCACCAGGCTGGGTTACATGGGAGCCAAGGTCATTTTTTGAAGAAAACTCCGCCAGGGAGCGAACCCACGACCTTCTGATCCGCGGCGCACGTCTAGCCGCTCGGCCACGGCGACTCCCTTATAGAACAGTTGTTATAGTAAGTTTCACTAATTCAAAAGAATGAAACAGTTAGTTTTAAAACTACATGAGATCTGACCTGTATGAAGTCATATGTCTCCCGTGATATGGTCCCCTTGACAGTTATGTTACCAGTGGTGCTGTTAATCTGGAAGACATCTCTATCTGAATTTGCTTCTGGTGTTTCAATACGATAGATAACTACTCCATTCTCTCCTCTGTCTGGGTCTGTGGCACGCACCTGGAAAAAAAAATACTGCTATTGATACTCATATTTTAAATATTTTTATAGACCTATCTGTGATGAAAAGAGAGATATTGGAGAACATTGTGATGTCTGGAAAGATCAGCAGTAGAAGAGGCAGACCAAAAGAAAATTCAATCCCCAGAAGTGGTGGGATTTTTTTCCAACCACTACAACTCTTCCTTTTTTTCTTCTTAGCATTCACTGGCTGTAAACTTTGGCCAAAAGTCCTGACTGTCTGGACTTTAGTCTTGTTCAAGAACCTTGAGTTTTGTTTGTGTATATGTCTGTTTCACCTGTATGGCTGGAGTATTTGTGTAAAAACTCTTGGTTCTCCGCCTCACAGGAAGATGTACTCTAACTCTGATTTGATTTGATTCAAGAACCGACATCACAGCACTGGGGGCATTCCCATAAGCGCCCCGTCCCCATCTTTAGCAGCCAGCGAAGAGTTCCGATACTAACGGTGCCAGTAGCATTCTGATTAAACGTCCGTCTTGCCTTTCCTCTGAGCCTCGAGCATCTACCAGAACCTCTCAGACTCTAACTCTGAAGGACAGTACAACTCTGAGATCAACCTAGTCTCACTCACATAAATGAGACATTTTCCAGATGTTTCTAGATATTGGGAAGGGCATGCAACGAGGAAAGGAAATGGCCACCAATACCTAATGTGTGAACAAATTCCAGGAACCAAGAGATAAAGAAAAGATGTTGGTGTTTGATAGGGTAACACTGAGGGCACCTGAGAACAATATAACTAGAAGAGCTTTGCACTGGAATCCACAATGGCATAGAAATAACGGCAGACCAAAAAACACATAGAGAATGAAACTGGACAGAGTGGTTAAAAAGACAAAAAGGACATTGAGTGAGCTGGATGTGATAGCAAAGGATAGGATGACGTGGTCTGAGCTGTTTAAGAGCCTATGCTCCACAGTGATAAAGGGCAGAAAAAGAAGAAGAAGAGATGTGAAGGACTAACATCTATCACCCCAACATCAATAATTGCTGTCAGACTAACAAACTGTCAAGAAACAGCACTGCTGACTTCTCTTTGTGAATGCCAACTGTAGTGGAATTTACAATGTGGACATGTTGCTCATGGGACCTTCTATTCTGTATTCTCATCCAAGAAGGTAAGGTATTTTATTTCACTACATAAGAGATCAGGGAGATGTGTGATATCATTAGAAACCAACGATTCTTGTGAAAATTCCCAGCCCTCTGATAAGATTCAAATCCGGTAATTTCTGAGCTTAGAAATCGTAAGCCCATGGTGACAAGCAATTAAAGTCAGGGATGAAGTTCTTCAATCTCCACTGCACAAAACCTGGGCATCATTGTAGAGACCATGTGTAGCATGATACCTCACTCAGCTTGCCTTGTTTATCCAAAGAGAAGGTAACACCAACAAATTTGGAACAAAATATGCTGCAGAAGCTGCTCAAATTAAAAAAAAAATGTGCTCTGTATGACTGTCTGTCTGAGCTTCTCTCCTAGACCAGCTGCCGACTAAGGATAAGGCTCTGGATGCCCTACCATAACAAAGTTTTCAGGTTGTATTTCATCTTTCTAGGATAAGGCTTGAGTTGCATCTCTAGGATAAGGCTCGGGTTGCATCTCGTTTTCCTAGGATAAGGTTCAGGCTGCATTTCCTCCTCCTAGCACCCTAACTAAGTCCCTCATCATTCTGCATCTTCTTCTTCTTGTTACCGGATGAATTCCGGCGGTAAGTAGGGTTCGCAAAATGGACTTTGGCTTTTTCGTTTTCCTAGGATTTGCGTGTACATCCGTTTTACTGGCTGCAGTACTCGTTCCCCGCCTCCGGCAGATCCTCCGACTTCCTAACTATTTCTAGGTTGACTGTGGCCATTGTTTTGTGTGGGTCGAGATGTTGCATTATTTGTGTAGTTCCTCTTTGACTTTAACAAGTGTGGCCCCCGGCATGTGTCCTTAAGGCAGCTCTATGTAGAGTTTTCAGCAAGGGAAGCAGGGGCAGTCGTGGCTCCCCGCCATCCAAGGAGGCTTCCATAAATGCAGAGCCGACATGATGTTGTGGGTCTGGGCTCAACCAAAGGAATCGTCAGTGGCCCATGACTGAGCGAACCTCACAACCTGAGCTTCCCGCGATACAAGTGCGCTCTAGCGGGGAGTAGGGACATGTGTGGCCACCTCGGTACATTCTTTTTCATCTTACGAGACACCTTTAACGTTGTTTCCCCTGGGCCCTTGACAGAATGTCAAAATGTGTCAGGCGTGGCTGTTTGGTCCCAACAAGTTGGACCAGTGGATACGGACATTGACTTTTTTTAATCGGTACAAGTTATGAAGTCGGACTTTGAGTGTGTGCCATGGGGTGTAACGACATTGTTTTCAAGCCAGCGTAGTTGACGACGACACTGAGGATTACAAGGATGTAAGTAGGTATCTGCTTCGCCCACAAGAGATGTTTCTTGGCTGCGGGTAAATCTTGTGTCATTGAGTTCAGCAGCACAATTCGTTCCCGAATTTTAACCATTTGTCATTTGATGGTACAGCAAGCATCTGAGTTTTCTACTTTTCAACAATGCGTTTGGGGGCGGGCTGGTGAGAGCAGAAAGGATGACAGCTCTGTCGCCAGCTCCGATCGATCTGTTAACCGACATATCCGTGGCGCACGACGGGCACGTGCAACAGGAGTCTTGCATGAGGTTCCGTAAAACCAGAACAGTGAAGGACTGGCGCCGATCTTGACAGACTTAACTTCCCCTCATGCCTGTGACCGAAATCACCGCGCCACCCTCATCATTCATAAACAATGGAAAATCTTTAGAGCAGGACAGCCTAGCATTTGATACCATCAACATCTAGCATGAGAATGGAGGTGGAGGCGGTAACTTCAGCTCTCTGGTGGCTAGAGAACAAGATGCATACACAAGTCATAATTGTAACACTCTGAAAGCGTGCTGAGGAAGGTGAAGATGGGTGCTTCGAGCAGAGTGGCAAGCTTCACTGGGCAGGGCAGGGGTAGTGAGCGTACTTTGGATCTTTTCTCCAGGTCATGCTGATGTTGTAGGAAATGAACAGGCAAACAGACTGGCTGGATCTGCACCGCTGGGTGGTGAATTGATACATGACAAGGCAGATGTGGTTAGAGCCCTTTGGGAACAAGTAACGAAGTCAGAAGAGAAACTAGACTATTATGGACTGGAGAGAATGATGCACCTAGGTGTGACCAGAGGGTCTGGCCAGTTCACTACGTTCAGAGAAAATGCAAGATGGACATACAACCAGACTACGACTGGCACCATTTGTAATGAAACTCTACAGTGGCTGCTGAGAATGGGGACGGAGGATGCATGGGAATGCCCCGATAGCTATGATGTCAAATCTTGACTCAACTCATAAAACAATTACAAAAAAAAAAAAACATGAAAAGTAAGATATTATAAATACCTGAATGACAGGTGTTCCAATAGGAGCATTTTCCTTAACACTAGCAGTTGTGTCATAGGATAAGCATTCGTTAAAGTTAGGTTTATTGATGTTGACTCCAACAATGTTGACTGTAAAAGTTGCAGTTGCTGTCTTAGCGCCTGTCTTGATGCTGCCACAACAGTTATCTTCATCGACTGCAATGACTTTCAATAAATAGGAGTCTTTATTTCTTGGGATGCTTGAATTCAACACTATCTGCCCACTGGATTCCCTGATCGTAAATATTTCTGACCATGCAACTTTTCCTGAAAGGAGAAAAATTATGCTGCTCTTGAACAAGCATACTTTTATGATAAACTTTATTTTTAAAAATCTTCTGTGTTTGTCTTAAATGGCTGCTTGTCATATTGTGTTGAGGTTTACACATAGCATATCTTCTTTTTCTTCTTCTTCCACTTCTTCGCATTTACCAAGTGTAAACTCCAGTGGAAAGTTCTGGTTGTTGTTCATTCATTTCTGGGCTTTAGTCTTGTTCCAGAACTAGAATTTTGTGTGTACATCAGTTTTACACATCTGGTTTATTTGTAACCAAACTGTTGGTTCTTAGCCTCTCAGGCAGCCACTTTCAACTTCGAAAGAACCACCTGTGAGTAACTGACTTTTACAACATGCCTACTAGCCTATGAAAAATATGCCTTTCACTCCAATAAATCTAACTTCAGCAAACCCTTAATTAGCCACCTTGTACCTTACTAATTTACCTCTCTATGACCATTAAAAACATTTCATCAGTGACTCATACTTGATCTTCTGACCAGGTCACCAGGGAACCACTAGTGGCAATAGGATACTATGACATCTTTATTTCTATTTTAAAAGCTGCACGATCACATGGAAACCTTTAAATGCTATTTTATAGTAAATATAATCAATTCTGGTCCTTTTAAACATTTGCACTGGTGCAAAAAATTATGTGTGCTGGTAGCTATTCTTCTTGTGAACACATCACTATAACAAGTCGGTAGAGTGACATTTAGTGAGAACTGGACCCAACCAGAAGTTGTCAGTTGTGTGGCTTCTCAGTACAACAGGGTTAAAGGAAGCTGTTTTCAGACCACAGAAGAGTTCAGGAAAATGTGCTACAAGACATACATGCTAATCCAGAAAACATTTTCATGATACAAAAATTGTAAAGTATTCTAAAACTGTGTCTAAAATAATGGGGAAAACTAATTTAAAAGAGGCAAGTAACTGTAAGTATAAAAAAAAGAGGTCTTTTTACTCGCCAGTGGCACACCGGCTTATAGGGCTTGACGATATTTTTATAGAGCAATCAGCCCTCATTGGATGATGTGGTCAACATCACACCGCCCACTTTGACTTCACAGGACTTCATCTGGACCCATTTAAGGCTGGGTCAAGCTTGGAGCCAAGGTCATGTCTAGAAGAAAAAAAAAACAGGCTCCATGCAGATTTGAACTTATGACCTTCAGATCCGCAGGTGAGCATCTAGCTGCTACACCACAACAGGTCCTAACTGTTAGTATAGCTCAATGACAATTTTATGTTGCACATAAACAATCATTTTCACACAGAAGAAATATCCCTACCAGAGACTGGTGTTATGAAAGGCTATGATTTTAAGACTTACCTTGAAAGTACAATTTGACAGAATCACCATCAATGTCTGAAGCATGAATGATGGCAACAATTGAGCCAACTGGAGTTGTTTCATTCAAGTAAAATGTTGTGGTTCTAGTTGCATATGAAAAAGAATATAAAATGTGGTATTTAATGTTCTCCTGAATGCATTTCTGAAAACCAGAAGCAGTTCTTCTGCTCCTCACTGTTGTTACAGTAATGTTTACAAGAAAAATCCCAGGCTTTGTGTGTGTGTGGTTTTTTTTTTTTTTTCAAGAGCCTCTTGAGACACCTAAAAGGCTTTATGTAGATACTGTCTCCATGTGTAAATATTAGGTCTGAAATTGACACAACATGTGGCAAAGTCTTTTTCATAAGCCACAGAGAAAAATGAAGGCAGGACAAATCATATCTCCTTCAACATCATTCTTCTTCTTCTTTTTCCGCCGGCTGTAAGCTCTGGTAGAAAGTCCTGGTTGTTCATCCATTTAGATTCTGGCGTTGTGCCAGGGCCTGAGTTTTGCGTGTACATCCGTTTTATTGGCTTATTTGTGCACAGGTGGTTGTTCCTTGCCGCTTGGGTGGATGCACCCGGGCTTCAAAGGAAGCCCCCAATTAGTCAACTCCTAGGACATGCTTGTTGGGGAGGCATTGGGTCTTTTCTTGTTTTTTCCAGTTGGGCCCGGGAACCCACACGGGGAAACATATTAATTTTTAGCAATCATATATAAATATATGCCTCTATTTTTTTGCTCATATCTCAACAATCAAAAATTTGTATACATAACTTCATTTCAAGCTTTGATTCCACATTTGTAACCTTTTTTCTGATAGACTATTATTGCTGTTAAAACATCATCTTTACTTTAAACCAGGGCTACTCCATTAACTTTACCCAAGGGCCAACATTTTGAAACTGGGATTTGTCACAAGCCAGAAGGCTGAACCCCAGCAGTGAACAATCATTAATACAATACAATTGGCAATGATGTGCAGGAAACTTGCTAGGCCTCGGCGGGCCGGATTCTGAGATTCTTCAGACTCAGGCTTGAGTTAGAAGTAGAAGAGAGCACTTATGGGTTACATCCGTGTGCCATGATGCTGATCGGTTGAAAAAATAAACAAACAGTTTCAGAACCTGAGTTTTGCATTCACATCAATTTTACAGATCTGGCTTATTTGTATGCAGACAGTTTATTCCTTGCCTCTCAGGCAGGTATGCACTCCAATTTTCAAGGAAACACCCTTAATACATCACCTTTTACAATATATTTGTTGCGGGGTAGTGGGTCTGTTCATTTCCCCCCCTAAATTGGTCCCTGGAACCCACACAGGGAGAATGTGGCGTATACTGAATGTTAAATTTAATATTATTTTAAGTACAATTTGTAAATAATTATGTAAAAGTAATTTAAAGTGATCTGGGATACCATTATTCTGTCTTAAGATATACTGACAGAACTCATATGCAAACTGTTCTTCTTGTTAAGTATAGTTTTTTTTTTTTTTTTACAATGAACATATGTTTCTATTAACAGAAATCAGAAGACTTGTATAACTAATAAAAGATTTATTCACTGGATTATGTAAGCAGTAATCTTACTTATAAACTGTGCAGTATGTTGTGTTAACAATTACAATAACATTTCATACATTTGATACTTACGTGTTGACAATAGTAGGTGGGTTGTCATTAACATTCTGAAGGAAAACTGTCACCTGCACAGGAGTTGATAAAGCCGGTGTTCCCTTATCACTTGCTATCACATTAAACTGTCTGGGCTTTGGGTCAGAATCAAAATCCAGCGGGCTGCAAAATATAAGACAGACAATGGAATAGCAAATACATTTCGGTACTGCATGTATGGTTAAACATCGGTTACCAGTATGGTGGAGTAAACATTGGTTGCTGATTCTGTGGCGTTTAAAATGTGTGTTTAACATCAATCAGTTTTAAAAAATGATGTTCTTTGACAGGTTAAGCAAACCGGTAGGGATTTGTTTTTTTTTTTTTTTTAGCTATGAGTGCTTAAGAATGATGGAAGACATTTGAGGAAAAGCATTATTCTATCAGTGCTGAAAAGACCAAAAAAACACCGAACAGAGGAATAACAACAGCCACAGCAAAAAGCAGATGTGAGCTGTTAAGTATTTACATCAAAGCCTTCTATATCAACATTGTCAATAGCTACCCATCGCAAACTGATTGTTTAACAGCAAAAGTGGAAATTGTATGCATGCTCATATTTTTTTTTACTGCAATTTCATATTTCTTGTTAGAAACAATAGTGCTGTGCAGCATGACAGGTTGAACAGTAAACCAACACTGAACTGATATCATCAGCTGCTACATGCAGAGCTGAGGGTTATTCTAACGATGGAGGATCTCAGCACTTGTGGGTTGGAGGGTCTCAGCACTTGTGGGTTGGAGGGTCTCAGCACTTGTGGGTTGAATGGTTCAGTGTGCACTGAGAATGATTTGGTGACTAATTTAAAGTAGATACCTTCGTGATCTTATTATTTTGAATTTACCTTTATGAAAGTTCATTTATGATAAATAAATGGGAAACAAGCCAGAGAGATACAGATGCTACTGAAGACAAAGATCAGCCCTTATCTGGACTGGTTTATTTCAGGGCTACCCCAAAAAGAAACCAATTAGGAAAGTGATGCCCTGCAGGAGACAGCACAGGAGTAACTATGAGACTCCACCTCCAGAAAAGAGATAGCAGGTAGCACAGCAGACACAAACTGCAAGTTAAGCTAACATAATGCAATTATCATGCAAATTGAGGAGGAAGAATCAAATTCAAACACCCCAATTACAACCTTCATATTCAAGGGTAAAAAACTGTGACAGAACCTGTACTATTGCTGGTATGTGCCTCAAAAGGTTAACAAATAAAAACAGTGTGTCCTAGCACTGCCATGTAGTGTGCATACTAAGCATTTATTTTAACACCAAAACTAAACAAGAATCAAACACAAGTTCCATGATGTGTGAGGTAGACCTGTTTTCAACCCCCCCCCCCCCCCCAAGTTTAATCAAGGATGAAATTAGTCCCATGATGGTTGAGGTGGACATACTGACTCCTTAGCCTCCTGCAATGGCCGAGAATAGCTTCACAAAATATCAATCACTGGAAGTGGGTCTTCAACCTGGAATTTAAGTGCAAAAAATATGCTTCTGCTAAGAAGATACTGACTTCTGCAAAACTGTAAGCAATGCAGAGAGGTAACTGTAATTAATATTACAGTTTGAAGCTTTACACAGATATTTGTCCCAACAAATATATAAAGTATACAAGTTTCTTAATACAAATTAACTTGCCACAAGTTTCATGAACAGACTTGAGAATGAGGATTTAGGGTGAATGTCTAGTGCAGTCGCTCCCAAATGAGCAAGTAAGGATTTTTATTTTTGCCACTTTTTTTTTTCCATCATCTTTGTTCATGGTGGTTAGTCCTCTGGCACCATTCACCATTGCCTTCTTATCTATCACGGAGGCTTACAGGACTAAAAAAGCTATATTATATATCAAGCCTGTTCTGTTCTATGGTAGTGAATCTTGGAATGTGAGCAAACAAATTAAGAAGTTTGGAGGCAGCTGAGATGTGGTATGTTGCAAATACCTTGGACTGCCAGAATAACTAAAAATTACTGCCTGGAAATGGCTAATGAAAGTAGAACATTATAAACAACAATAAAATGGAGACAAAGTTCTTCACTAGTGGCAGAGGCAGACCAAGAGAAAGATGATAGATTGCTTAGGACAGTTGCATGGAGGAATATCATCAGTAGAATTGATCCACAACATAAGACAGATCTGCTGAGATGCAAGAACACCTACGCCAGTTGGCAACGGCACTTGATGATGATATATGTGTGTGTGCGTGTGTGAAAATGACAAATATCATGATCTGTAACAATTTCATTAGGCTCATTTCAAACATGAAAGCAGTTACTCAGTATGAATCTGATTACCTTTTCACTCTAACAGTTCCAAGGAAGGTGCTGTTCATGCTTCGTGTTGTCACATCAAAAGATGTACTGTTTGAAATTGAGAAGATAATCTCACCATATAATCCACTGTCAAGATCAGATGCTGTCGCTGAAAATTAATACAAATGAAAATATGTTTTCTTTCATTTACTGTGTGTACTGCTCTAACTTAAAATCAACATTTCTCAAGAATTTTTCTCAAGCGGTAAGTATCTCTGTTCAGGCAATATTCTGACCTTGTAAACCATTGGAATAGTGAAGATAGTATTGGACAGCACAACTTCGCTGGTATCAAGCAAATATTTGTACTCATTCTATTCCAACAGAACTACTAGACGCAAATTTGCCTAGAAAAACCACACAATAGCCAGGGGCTGTTGGGGTTGGTTCTGAAACATCCTGTAAAGGATACGCAACTAACCTATTCCAACAATTTATTACATTAAGGAATCAATGTTTATCTCTGTCACTGCTAGTCTAAATCCTGGGCGAGAAAGGAGGAGGGTTGGGGATGCTGCCAGCTCCCTAACCTTTTAAAAAAAATTATTTGCTACAGAAACTTGCAAGAAACGTTGCCACTCTAGTAACAGAATGGAATAAAGAAATAGACTGTGAGCTCCATGTGGCATAAAATGGCGCAACAGGACAATGATTTATTCAGTCAATTTACGTTTGCGTAAAAAGACCTAATATAACACCCTTATGGGACAGGGTGAGTTAAAGTGAGCACTGGGACAGAGTGGGTAAGTATGCTATGTTTTCACAATGCAAGCTCAGTTCTCCGATGCAGCAGCCACTCTAAGTTACCTCTGCTGATTGTTCCCATGAGGAGTTGGTTATAGTATCTTCTGTCAGAGATTCGAGATATAAAAATTGGAACAGTTACAAGCAATCCAGAAAGTAGATCATGTGAGCTGAAACTAACACATGTCACTTACTTCTGAATGAGTTAATGAGTAAAAGAAAAGGACCCTTTCCCCACACCTTAAGGCCGACAGGGTATATCATGCTAGACTTATATTTTACAGACCAGTCGGCGCTTGATGAGTAATGTGGTCAACATTGAGTCTGACTCAACAGGGATTCAAACCCTAGCCTTTCCAGTCTGACAGGCTAGCATCTAACCATTACGCCACTGTATGCCACATCAGATTCATTGTACATCCTTATCTTCCTTACACCCTGATAAATGTTTATTATAGAATCATATTCTCTGCATATGGGGCAAGAATACATAGTATTTTTCTTAGTTTCCTGACCCTGTTGACATCCTGCATGCTGATGAGGGAATGAGCTGGTCGCCCACCTCATAATGCGCATTTACCTAGCATGTATAAAGATCTAATATTTCACTCACAAACAGCAGCAGCTCACATGGAATTACCATATTTTTTCTGTGTATAAGATGCCCTCTGTAAATGACGAGACCCATACATTTTGTTTTTTTTAAGAAACACATTCCATGTCTGAGACAACCATCAATTTTAAACACAAACAATTCGGGAAAGTACATGGAAAAATACTCTGAATAAGAAATATTTTTCTAGCTTACTCACCTTGCCAGGAATAGAACAAAAAGAGATGAAGCCTTATTAAAAACTTAGAGAACATGGTCTTATGACAAGTTTTGGACCTATCAAAAGTGCAAACAGCAGAGAATGAAGAGAGAAGCAACTATGAAATTTAAAATCTATTTAAATTACCACTTACTGCTGGTATCATGCAGGCTATTAGACTGTTATGGTTGGGGCATTTTTAGAGAATGACAGACAATGAAATGATAAAAACTGCATACACAACAAAGTTGTAGAGGAGTAGACCACAAGGCAGACAGAAGATGATGGAGAGATAATGTACAGGAAGATCTACCAAAACTTTGCAGCCACCAAATTGATATAAGAAGCCAATCATAGATATGAATTGAGGTAGGATATCTATGCAGCAATGAACCTCAGGGGCCGGGAAGAAGAAAAAAGAAGAAGGAGGAGGAGGAGATTACTCACCTTCGAGAACAGACATGCCAACAGCCATATCCTCTCTGATTGTCGCAGTGTATTGTGGGGCAAAAAATGTGGGATAGTGGTCGTTTTCATCTATTATATCTATAGTTATCTGTGGGGGGAAAAAGGCAAACAACAATCTTAACAGACTCAAATATTATCGTCTTCTTCTTCTTTGCGTTGACTGGTTGTTAACTTCGACGGAAAGTTCTGGTCATTCATCTACTTCTGGACTTTAGTCTTGATGCAGAACCTAAGTCTTGTTTGCACATCTAATTAACAGATCTGGTTTACTTGTAAGCAGACTGTTATTTCACCACCTTTCAGGTAGATGCACTCCAACTTTGAAGGACATATTGTTACCAAGAAAGAATTTTCACAACAACAGGCCATTGTGAAAACTGCTGTGCCAACAGTCACGAGTGATGTTTCTTCTTCAAATATTGCCAAACTGCTGTGCCAACAGTCATGAGTGATGTTTCTTTTTCAAATATTGCTAAACTGCTGTGCCAACAGTCATGAGTGATGTTTCTTCTTCAAATATTGCTAAACTGCTGTGCCAACAGTCATGAGTGATGTTTCTTCTTCAAATATTGCTAAACTGCTGTGCCAACAGTCATGAGTGATGTTTCTTCTTCAAATATTGCCAAACTGCTGTGCCAACAGTCATGAGTGATGTTTCTTCTTCAAATATTGCCAAACTGCTGTGCCAACAGTCATGAGTGATGTTTCTTCTTCAAATATTGTCAAACTGCTGTACCAACAGTCATGAGTCATGTTTCTTCTTCAAACATTGCTATCTCCAACATATATATATATCAGTACACATGTTTACACCTTTCTATGCCATGATAAATGACAATAATCTTCATATCTTTTTTCCATAATTTCTTTCAGTTGTCACATGTTCTGTTTATTTTTCTATTCTCATAATATGGCCAGACAAACAAATCTGAGTGCTTCTTTCTGATGTCTGATTTCTCTCTGTGCCTTAGCCTTTTCCAAACTTACAGATTAGTCTTTTGGCCTCCCATGTGCATTCCATGACCCCATTTTGGGTGAGGGGGACGGGGAAGAATATACCTACTGCCCTTCAACAGGCGTGTCACAAAATGTAACTAATTGAGCACTTGCTAAAATTGACTGTGTTGACCTGAAAGGCATAGATATGACAGCCCAGCTCAAACTGCAACACAACATGCTTACAGCTTTTATTTTTTTTTTTTATTTAAAGGGCGAAAAAAAGAAGAAGCTTAGGCATTGCAAACCTGATGATTTTGTCATTTTGCACTATTTCTATCCTATTTTGCACAGGCACAAACTGATGAATGTTTGCAATTTATTATAAATGTTACAGTCATTCTGCATATTTTTTATGCAAGTAGATAAACTAATTTGCATTCAGAGATATTCCATCATTGCTGTTACTATTCTTCTTTCAAATCTTCTGCTTCTTCTTCTTCTTCGCGTTCACCAGCTGAAAACTCTGGCTGAAAGCTCTGGTTGTTTGTCCACTTCTGGACTGCACTCCTGTTCCAGAACCTAAGTGGTGTGTGCATCGGTTTTACAGATCTGTCTCATTTGTATGCAGACTTTTGGTTCCTTGCCTCTCAGGCAGATGCACTCCGACTTCGAAGGAAGCTCCCAATTAGTCGGCTTTTACGACATGCTTGTGGATAACTGTTTTTATGTCCAAATTATTTCCTTTTAAATCTAAATGCAGTTTATGCCACTTAATACCTCATGTAATTGTTTCTTTTTTAAAAATGTGTTTACCTGCAACACCCAACTGATCACTGTTTTGCTTTATTGTCACATTTAGCAGTAGTACTTTTATCAGAGATGTCCTGTTCAACTCTTCTGGGTGATAACTGGGTTTTTAAATATTTTTTTTGGTTTCAAGGTGCTGGATACTACCCCAGTTAATCATTCAGTCAGTTTTTTTTATTTCATTGCATCTCATAGCATGTCAGTGCAATTATTCAGTATGTTGCTAGTATGTTTACAATCTATTATCTGAAATAACAGTAAACAATCTATATGTCAGTTATAACCTAAAATAGACTAACAAAGAGGGCTCTTTTAATAAATGAGTAAAATAAAGAGATTATTCAGTTTAACAGATATTATTTTAATTAATCATCATCAACAATTCTCTTTATGCTTAGTGGCACATGAGGCTTCGGAGAGAACTTTCCATACTTTCCTATCCTGTGCAATCTTCAGTGCAGTTTTCATGTCAGAGAAGCTGCACTCAGGTCACTTTCCATCGTTCGTCTCCATGTAATTTGGTTTTGATGTCCAGTATACTGTTTTCCCATCATGGGCTTCCTTTCGGCTTTTACCCATGTTGTTCATGCTGACAGAGGGACTCTGTACCAAGACCACCGAACATTTAGAGCACTTATTTCCTCTTTAGGTTTCAGTAATGCTGTAGTTTTTTACAGGGCAGAGCTGTCAACACTAACGAAATTTAAAGTCAAGAATAGCATAAAATGAGAGCTCTGCCACTTTAACCTACCGGTACAGTGGATGTGAGCCCAGTGCTGCCCTCTGTTACTTTGATGGTCAAAGCAAAAAATTTAGTAACTTCATAGTCAATAGGCTGAAAGGGAACAAGATAAAGTTGATATAAAATTACTGAATGAAAATGAAAATGAAGAGTGGTGCTGTATACAACATCATACACTACATCATATTCTGTTAAACACTTAGTGATCTGTTCATCATCATCCTGTAACACTGCATGTCGTTGAGTCACCAGCTTCTGTCTGATCAGCCCTCTCCACCTCAGGCAGTCAGATGGGATGCACTGGAGAAATTCCTAGGTTCTAGGAATCTTCCCCCAAATTGTTTCCAGGGAAAAAGGGTTAAAAACATCTCCAAACTATTATTTATCATACTTGTTGCCACTCTTATACAGTACAGATCTGTAAATACAGTAAATGAGACATACTATACAAGACCAGTTTATATTACTGCTTATGCATATTTTTTTTTATATACGCCTTAAGGCAATATAGTCAGATAATTTTGGCCTATATTTGATAGACTAACTGGCATTCAGTGGGTGATGTTGTCAACATCCTGCCAGCAGCCATTACTTAATGGACCATATCTGGTAACCATTTTAGGCTGGGTCGACCTGGAAGCAAAGTTAAATTTCATTGTGGGCACTCACTTTTGATTAATTTTTTAGTTTTGATCCTCAATTTAACATAAATATGTATTCAAAAATACTTTTAGCAATGAAATAGTAACTAAATATAATAGCAGAAAAAAATGTACGTTCATCAACAACAACAAAAAGAAATAGTGTAAAATACATACAAATGGCAAAATTCTTTAACAAGTGAATCATTACAACTATCCTAGTTAGAACAGTTGCAACATCTTGCACAAGATGCTTTGCAGAAGTTAGAATAAGAATCGCCATGACAAAAGTGGTCTTTAGCAAAATGAAAAAAAATTTAAAAGATATCAATAGGAAGAAGGGGGGGGGGGGGTGGCTCTTATGAGTGAGGGGCGCTAAAATGCTATTTAAAAACTTACGCAGTATACATGTGAGACACGGGCAATAAGCAGATAAAACTAATATTTCCTTGATTTTTTCTTTTTTTTAAGAATATCATGAAATGATGGGAGAATAAAAAGAGGTGGTCATTGAGATTTATGAAAGAATTACACTGATTAGAAAAACCAGTCATAGACAGTCAGCAACTGGAAATATTGATGGAAAAAGATCAAGAGAAAGGCAAAGAAATATATCTTCATTATATGGATGGGGGGAGTCGCCGTGGCCGAGCGGTTGGTGGAGCCGGACTTTTTTCAAAAATGACCTTGGCTCCCAGGTCGATCCAGCCTTGAGTGGGTACCGGGTGCAGTCCGGGAAGTAAAGGCGGCCGGCGTGATGCTGACCACATCACCCATCTTGTGCCGATTGGTCTATAAAAATATAGGTCTAGCCCTATATGCCCTATATGCCTAAAGGCGTGGAAAAGGGTCCTTTACTTTACCTTTTTTTTTTTTATATGGACAGGGTGAGGCAAGAATGCTGACTTGATACATGATTCGGGTGACTGAGCCGGCAAAACATGACAGCCTATACTTAACTCAGCACATAATAATACCGAATAGCTAAATATAGCACTGGTAAATAATGCAGGAAACTTGTTACTTTCTCACCCCAGAGAGTGACTTCCCTTTTCCTTTAAGTCTTTCTGTGTCACACGGTCTGTCCTATGTCCTATGAGATGTCACACTTAGTGAGTAGTCAGCAACATGCCATTGTCAGGAGCCGACTATATCATGTGTTCTATATTCCATGATGTAAGTGCTTTTAACGGCACAATTTGGATAAGAACACAGACCTTATCAGAGGCTCTAGTAACTGTGTTAGATGGTGAACCTCAACAGACCATTCTTATCTGCATGACACAAAATGATGATGAGAAAGTTGTATATAAAAATTAGATCCTCACCATTCTATTTACAATTCTCTGAACATTATCTTCAGCCCGAATGTCAAAATACTGTGATGGTCTGTTGCCTTGTTCAAGTAGCTGGTAACTAAGTGTATTGCCAGGTTGAAACTGCAAGACTCTAATCCCAAGTTTGTTGCTAGAATCCATCTCCAAAACCCTAAATTCGGAAAGAAACATTTAAAAACAATTGGTCACAATACTTGCCAGAAAACAAAAAATTTTTCAATTTCCTTGCAATCTGCAAATAATATTTTTCTTTTTTAAAATTGTAAACAACAATGCTCAATACAGAAGGTTTGCTTTAATAAATTTAGGATAAAAGCAATATTCTAGACCAAAATTACATTTCACAGTTGTTGGCTTAAGAGTTCCGATGGAGATTTAAAGTAATTATAAAGTTCTATTTCTAGGGTCATTATAGAGTTTTTGAAGTAGTCTGGCAACTGATTATTTAGTCAATGAAGTTTCTTACAAAACTTATGAAACTGCGACATGTATATTAAACTTTCTCTCTCTTTATATATATATATATATATATATATATATATATATATATATATATATATATATATATATATATATATATATATATATATATATATATATATAGCTCTACCACTGTAAATATCAATCAATATGTATGCATATTGATATTTTGAACAAAATTATTTTTACTGCCATATTTCCACTGTTCTAACAACTCTCATGTTACTATCTCACAGGCTTGAATTTACTGTTCTCAAAATGATGTCTGTGCTGGTTCTCATATTTACTACTGCAGGTGTTTCTGATGTCAACAAATCAATCACCTTGTGTCGGTGAGTGCGCACGCGCATACACACACATATACAAGCATATACACCCCGATGCACACACACACACACAGTTTAACATCCATATATTTAACCCATTTATGTCAAAGCAAGATGCTACATAACTTCTAAAAATAAGCTTTCAAACATGACTACATCTGTACTGTAAAAACAAAACAGATAAAAGTAATGTCAAAGCAGGCACCGAAGTAGTGCCTCAAGTGTTTTCATCCTACAGCAGTGGCCCCCTAACGTTTCCTCCTATAATCATGAATGAAAAGGTACATGAGAAAAAAAGTATATGGATAATTTGAAGAAAGCTGCCAGAGTATGGACAACAGTGAGCAAAGAAGATAATGGACTGACAAGATCAACAATGAAAGTTATACAGTGTGAGTCCCCAAACAAAAATTAGGTAATTAACTCTCTGAACTAACAATCTGACTCATTTAGGTAGACAGGATAAGCTAAGTAACTGATATGGTAGTGGTAACTAGTCTTGAATTCTCAAAAGCTGTTAATAAATCTTGACCTGATTTATGGAAGTGAATCATGGACAGTTGGACGATTGAGAAAAATAATTTGGAAGCGGCAGAGACGAATGATAAGAATACCCTAGACAGAAAATAAACAATAATGAAGATGTCTTGAAAGAAAGTCATGAAGAGAACTGGTTGTTCACATCAGAAAGAGACAAATATTTGGTCAAGCCATGAGAAGGAGAAAACTGAAGTGCATCATGATGGTGGGAAAGCTAGAAGAGAAAGAGGCAGAGGGAGACTGAGAGAGAAGATGCTGGACAGTTTGACATCATGGCATTGAAGAATTGACTGACAATACACAAATCAGAAGGCTGTGGATAGCCATGACTACCAACATCACACAGCATGGACTATAAGAAGAAGAAGAATGTGTCTTGTTGAAATAATTCTATGATGCTGATAGGTTTTGGTTGCATCTCAATAAATTCTGGTCCTTTCAGACCGTAAGGTTTTTCAGGTTCAAGTCCATTACATAAACATTTTAAGAAACTAGCCATATTCATTCGTAAAATTACTCTCACCGCTTTGTTAGTATCAATCTCAAATCTGAATTGCATTGACACTGTTGTTTCATTTGAATATCAAAAGTATCAGTTCAGATATGAAATTTGGCCACATCAGGCTAGGTTTTCCTCAGTGAATCCTACATATTGTTTTGTTTCCTTGCCGCAAAACTATGCAGTGCACCACAATATGGTGCGCTTAGTAAAACAAACTATTTCCAAAAATAAGTTGAGGTTAGATTTATAATAACACAAGGTGGTGTGCATTGGTTTTCAGTTTTAAAAAAAAAAAAAAAATCATTAACCCTTGCAAAAGTATTCTACTGTTTTATCACAGACATACAGTAATCCGGGCATTTTGTTAACATCTTAAGTTTGTGCTTTTTTTTTTTTTATTCCGGTATTTCAAATTTATTTAATTGGCTGCAAGTGATCCAAATGCCCAACCTCCTATAGTTCTGAGAAATGCTGTTACTTTGTTCTCCATAAATGTATTCAAAAAGTGTTTGAAAACTGACATGAATTTTAAAATCTTACCAGTTGGTTGATGTTGCTTGTGTACTTTCATATATTCGACCTTTGTATGACTGTTCAAAAAACTGTGGTGGTCGATTGCCAACTCGCACAATAATATTGTCAGTTACTAGTAGTGCACCTACGACAGTATTTCTGTCCTGTGCAGTAATCTGATAACAAGATGAAAGCAAAAATGAGCATAGTTAAAAAAGAAGACGGACTAATAAGTGTCACAAGCAAGTTGGTCGGCATGCTGGCAACTACATGTACGTATATCTGAAACATTTTCTTTAACTCCTTCTTTCTTTGCGTTCACTGGCTCTAAATTCTGGCTGAAAGTTTTGGTTGATCATCCACTTTCAGAACTTAAATGTTGCCTGCACATCCATTTTATAGATCTGACTTATTTGCATGCAGACTGTTGGTTTCTTGCCTCTCAAGCAGATGCACTCTGGCTTCAAAGAAAACCCCTAATTAGGAAAATCTTGTGATTTGCTTGATATGGAGGCAGCGGGTCTATTCTAGTTTTCCACATAATGGGGCCCCAGAACCCACATAGGGAATTTACTCAAACAGTAAGGCTCACGACAAAGTTGTTTTCTATGAACTCTTCATCACCAAACAACTCGTCATGTATTCATTGCTGAGTCCAAGGGCAGTAGTTTCTGACTCTTTTCTATCATGCACACTTCTTACATCAACTCATGCTACTTGTTGGTTTAGTTTATTCTGTACCATTGTGTTGTTATTTTTTATCTTACTCCTACTGTGGCTGCTTTACATTAGAATTTCTCCAGACAGAAAGAGCGAAGAAACTGCTGGCTGGTACTCAAAGAGTTAATGTGAGCGCATGCATAGCAAGCTTTGTTTTTTTTTTTTTATCTTCAGGAATGAAGAATCATGGAGTAATGAATTTGCATGTGGTTCTGTGTTAAATTTAACTGACAATTTTTACCAAAAGTTTTTTTTTTTAATTGCTGTCATAAGACTACAAGCTCAAGTATTTAAATTATCAGTTGTAAAAGTGTTTCCAAAACTTTTCAAATGCTGCCACATGCCTGTGAGGACAACTGAGTCATGAGTTTTCAAATGTGTTTCAAATCAGGAAGTAATTCTACAAGTTGAATGATTAATACATTACATTCATAGGAAATCATTTGTTATGCATCTGTTCCATGGAAACATATGGATGTGAGCCATAGACTATTTCAAAACCACTAAAGAAGAAAGTTTGAGCATTTGGATAAAAATGTCACACAAATTCTAAAAATACCCCAGATATAGAAAAAAAAGGCAAATAATGACATTCTACAAGATCCAAACTTAAGAGAAAACTGGCTCATCAAATGTCACAGAAAGTGACAAAATTTAGCTATATTGTTCAACACCACTGTGATTTAGCAAGAAAAGTGATGGAAGACATAGATCTTGGAAGAAGAAACAGGTGGCTGACCAGCATGAAGATGTTCACTGGCATGAGAGTCACCTTGGGCATATATAAAGGTAGCGTTGTCGAGAGTGGAAAGTCTATCTAGTCAGCTGGGATGGAAACAAAGAACCTGTTACATGATGAGCTGCCCCTATCAAGTAACTTACCTCCTACATCTTCTTCTGCCCTTTATCCCCCAGTGGAGCACAGGCCCTCTACCAACTCATACCAAGGCTCACTCAATGTCCTCTTTTGACCTATCCTTTATAGTGAGTGCTCTTCTCTGTGTTTTTTTTTCTGTCTTTATTTCTATGCCTCTGTGGGTTCCAGTGCAAAAACATTCTAGTTAAATATTCTCAGATTTTCTCAACATGTGTCTTATCAAAGCCAGCATCTTTTCTTCACCTCTTGATTTACTAGAACCTGTTTGGTTCTCTCAAAAAGCTAAACATTAGTGATTATATCATGTCATTTAATTTCCTCTATTCTCCTCCTACTACATATCAATACAACATGAAGTTATAAGGTTCATACATAGCATAACTGAGGCAACAAACATCTAAAGTATAAAAGCTTATTCCTATCAATTATTTATGTCCTCAGGATGCAAGCCAAAACAAACAAAGAAGAAGTTTATACATACTTTTATAAAACACTATTTCTTCCACAAAATTATGTTTTCTTTTTCTAAATATACTATTTTAAAATTATTTTGAAAGTCTATTTTTACCTAATAAATGTTAAACAATCTAAGAGACAAACAAAAATATCCATTAATGGAAACTTCTTTGCATTCACCACAAGCTGTAAACTGTGCCAGAAAGTTTTGGATGTTTGTCCATTTCTGGACTTTAGTCTTGTAACAAAAACTGCGTTTTGCATGCACAACCATTTTACAGATCTGGGTTATTTGTTTTCTGGTGCATGCACTCCCAACTTTGAAGAAACACCCCTAATCAGTCAACTTTTTACTACATGCTTATTAAAAGTAAATTTGGCCTCTTCTCCCTCACCCCCAAATAATGAGGTCACAGAACCCAGACAGGGATAATGGAAACAAGCAGAAGGATGTTAAAGTGACCTTTATTGTGTAGTCAGCTCCTGAGGTAAAAGGGCCTGAGCCCGCCGTGATTATGTTGTACACTTTTTGAGCTTCAGTACCGCCATCAAGCTGTTTGGACTGGAACCTTTCGGTGACCACTCGATCACCGGATGTAGCTGTAAAGCATATTTACATAAATACTTACTGAACTGACTCTTTAATAAAAATACACATGTACAGTATTAAAAGTACCACATATAAATTTTGTGTTGTGGTTTACAGCTAGTCTGCAGTTTTTTTTGTTTTTTTTTTAACCAAAACATCCTTCTTCTTGTTCTTCACATTTACTGGCTGTAAACTCTGGTGGAAAGTTCTGGGCGTTTGTCCACCTCCCAAACTAAATTCCTGTTCAAGAACCTGAGTGTTGCATGCACATCCATTTCACAGATCTGGCTTATTTGTATGCAGACTCTTGGTTCCTTGTCTCTCAAGCATATTTACTCCAACTTAAAAAATATGCCCCCAATTAGACGACTCCTACAACATGCTTGTTGGAGAGGCAGTGGGTCTATTCTTGTTTTCCCCACAATGGGGTCCTGGAACACACATGGGGACATCACATACAATTTTAGCAAACTCCCTTATTAGTCACCTTTTAAAAGGGAGGTGGAGACAAAAGCTGTCCATAACCATAAGGCAAAAAATATTCCTTACAGGGCTGAGTCAACCCAGGATCCATGTAGTCATGAAATGATCCAACCTCAAGGAGAATTTAAACCCAGGACAACTTAGCCTATTGTTTGCACTCAGGTGCATCAGTCAATATGCTGCAATGGCCTCCATACATTTACAACAGTGCCAAATAATACAATGCAAAGGCGTTATCACAGCTAATCCAGAACTCAAAGAGCATGCTGAGAAAGGTGGAGACAGGCCAGTTCTGTGCAAAGTGGCAAGCATCACTTCAAAGGTCCTGGCAAAGGTTAGCATCCTTTGAATATTTTCTTCAGGCGATGTAGGTGTGTTGAGAAATGAGCAGGCAGATAGACTGACTGGTTCTACACCACTCGGTGGTGTACTAATGTGTGACAAGCTACATGTGAGGGACCTTTGGGAGCGAGTGAACACTACCAAGGAACAGACAGATCATTACAGTATGAGGAGAATAGCACTGTGAGGAGTTATAAGGGGATTTGGCCGACACTCAACACTCAGGGAAAATGGCGAGATGGATAAACAATCAGACAGTTACTGGTTCCATTGAAATTTTAAACGTTCGCTTGATACTGAAAATGGGGACGGATCACTAATGGGGGTGTCCCGAGTGCTGTGATATCAATTTTTAATTCAAAATTTAAAATTCAAGGCTTAACCAGAGAGGATTTCTTTTTTTCATTAATGAAGAGAGACCAGCAGGATGCTGAATTGTGTAAGCACAGAATAAAAAGGACTAAACAGTGTGATAAAATCACTAATTTGAATCACATCATGAGAAAAGAAATTGGTTTCAGTGAATAAAACAATGAACTGGATAAGACACACATTATGAAAACTTTATAATATAATTAAAAAATACACACATTATGAAAACTTGATAATATAAGAACATTTAGAAAACTTGGTACAATATTTATAACATCACGGGAGACATTCACAAAATTTCCCGGGGGGGGGGGGGGGGGGGGGGTTTGATTTGGGGGAATTTTTCCTTCTGGAGTGCATCGCAAAAGCATGCGCTTGTTGGCGCCTCTTATGACGTGTGTTTACCGCGTGTCAGCAGTCTTCATCTTTGCCGCGTCTGGTTGCTACAATTAGTAGCATTTGTACAAGACAAGGACACCTGCATTGCCTTTCTGCAAGAAAACCAGAAGTTGCAGAAACAACCATCAGATAGATGGTGTATTATCTCGGTCGGAAAGACACACGACCGTTTGCCGGTGTTGAAAGTCCACCTGTTGTCTGGACATACCCTTACAGCAAATTGCGGACCTCTTTCCTGCGACTACACCGACTAGATGGCTGGAACTCACGAGCAGCGGCTACCGCATCTCCTGCAGCTTCCTCCTTTTGATTTGCTCGTGAGTTATTATCGTTGTCGGAAAGACATACGACCATTTTCCGGTGTCGAAAGTCCACCTGTCGTCTGGACATACCCGTGCGGCAAATTGCGAATCTCTTTTTGGGGACTAAACCGCCACCGCGATTAAAAAAAAAAAAGTCATGTAGGGATTAAATGCAAATTTCATTTAAAAGGCGGATATAATATCACTGAAAATTGTGCATCATCAAGCAACCGACTGCGCACCAACAGACAGATATATCATCATCATCATCAGGTACCTTGCCGACTGGCGTGGGTGATCATGCCTCTCCATAATCTGCGATCTCCTGCAGCATGTATTAGTTCGTGTGCCGACACACCTCCATGCTATGCAACAAGACTGTCAAGCATCTTCTCTTGTTGCCTTCCTCTATCCCTCCTTCCACAGATCTTTCCAGTGGTCACAACATTTTCTATTTTTCCTCTTCTCATAACATGGCTGAAAAATGATGACTGTCTCCTTCTGATGTCTGTGACAAGTTGTCTTTGGGCTCCCGTCTCTTTCAAAACCTCTTGGTTGCTCTATTTGGCTGTCCAAGGTATTCTAAGCATTCTTCTGTAAAACCACATCTCTGAGGCCTCTAGAAATTGTTTGGCCTGCCTACTGATTGTCCAGGATTCACAGCCATATGTTAAAACTGGATGTATGTAGCAAGCAAGAATTCTTTTTCTAACTCTCAATGACAAGGATATATTTATTGCACAAGAGGTTTTTCATTTTATAAAATGCAGTTTTTGCCTGTCCTATTCTGTTTCTTATCTTAGCCATGCATCTTCCATCTGATGTTATCTATGTGCCCAGAGACTTAAATTTCTGTACTTGTCCTAAACTAACACCATCGACTTTTATTACAGATATATGCCACACTAAAATACACTAGAAGAGAAACAACAGCATCAGCACACTTACACCCCTTGAAATAGTGGACTGTCAAGTCAGCTGTGGAATTCCTACGGATTTTCGTATTTGGGGTAGTTTATAAATATTGTACTGAAAACTTAATATTAATTTTACTAAATAAGATACACCCCATGAAAACTTGATAATAATATAAGACACTTAGAAACTTGATAATAATGTAATTAAATAAGACACACTCTTAAAACTTCATAATAATATAAGACACTTAGAAACTTGATAATAATGTAATTAAATAAGACACACTCTTAAAACTTGATAATAATGTAAGACATTTATATGATTAAATAAGACATAGAATTCAAAAACTTGATAATAATGTAACTAATATGTCCCTCTGCTGGAACCCACAGGACTAAAGAAGTAAAGATATGAACTCTAGACATTTGCAAAGGGGGCAACTTTCCATTCAATTACTAATAAGACATTTTTTGTCACAAAACTGATCTCAGGGATTCAACACTCAGACTGTGAAGAAGTTGGGTATTCCAATTTTGAAGAATTAGCACATGCACTCGAACACCATTTTCCCATCATAAAAATTGCTCTTTAATTAACTTTTTTCTCTGCCAGACATTTGGAACTATTTTAGCAGGTCATGGGTGCGAAGGGAATTGTATCGACAAACAATACTGGAGTGGAATGATGAATGCCAGAGATTTTGCCACCTAGTGGTTTCCATGGTATCAGTGACAGTTTAGCACTGATCCATGCTGTATGATTGGGTTTTTTTTTTTTTTTTTTTGCACTCGCTTGCTGTAAACTCCGGCAGAAAGTTCTGGTTGTTCATCCACCTCTAGACTTTGGTTTTAGTCTTATTCCAGAACCTGAGTGCAGCTGTACATTAATTTTAGTCTGGCTTATCTGCATGCAGACTGTTGGTTTCTTGCCCCTCAGGGCAGATGCATTCCGACTTTGGAGGAAGCCCAACCCCCCCAATTTGTTGATTCTTATATTTATGCTATTTAGGGAGGCATTGGGTTTAGCCTTGTTTTCCTCGCAACCCAATGGGGATTAGTTAGTTAGTTGGGTTATCATCATTGCACTCCGGATATGTCCACAGGTGCTCAGATCCTCCCCTTAGTATGAGCCCCAACATCCGATGGCTAATAGTACCAGTTCTACATGGGGATAAGATGATATGAAGTAGAAGCCTTACTTGGAATACCCATAAAAACAGCAAAAAGCCAACGAGTAATGTACAGGGTGTATCTTAATACACAGAATGGTGGCTTTAGCTTTTACCTATGCCTGCAACTGAAATAACACAATGAAAGGCAACAAAAATGTGATAGAATGTCTGCACCTACCTTGGTCTATTCCAAAAACCAAATTAGGATTGGAATCAGCATCTGCAACTGTTACAGTAAATATTACAGTTCCTGGAGGAGCATCAGTAGCTACTGTGGCATAGAGTGGTTTTGGTTTGTTGACAAAAACTGGGGGTTCATCATTAATATCCGACAGTGTCATCCTGATGGTTAGTATGACGACATCTGATGGCAATGAAAAGTTTATGTAGTTATTTAAGATATGCTTCTGAATCCTTATCAATGCATACAGATATTCTGTGTCTGCTCTCTCTCTCTCTATATCCTTCAGTGGAAACTAATCAGGAGTTTACTGTGGCTAAATGGTTAAGCTGTTTACCTCACACTTTGAAGGTGGTGTGTGACTGTGTCATTCAGTTCACTGTTGAAATTTTTAAGGAGATCCACAAGGATCAATCCTGGAGCTATGAAGTTTGTGCTTTGTGTGATGCTTGATTTGTGCTTTGTGTGATGCTTGAGACAGTTGTCTGGTCATTCTATGTAGAGAGATAGGGCCATATGGGATAAAATCTAGTTGAATAAAGTCTATTCTTTTGGCTTTAAACATATAAACCTTCAGCCGACTCACACCAGGTTTTCCTATCTTTTGCCACTGAGTGCATCTCACATCAATTTCTCACATTGTTCATCTTTTTAATTCTTTTCTCTCAACAACATACGCATTAGTGTTTCTCTTGGAAGTTCTAAATTTGTTTTCCAATCAATTTGTTTCCAATTTCATCACCTGTTTTGTTATTCTCTGCCTGCTTGTCATGGTGTGCTCAATAAATCACCATCTTTCTTGACTTATAAATGTTGATACCAGCAGTTGTTAATATATCTCTCTTATTTCTTCATCTGTCTCTCTTATTTCTTCATCTATTTTCTGAATCAACTTATTTAATGTTCACCAATTTCTGCAAGAGTTTGGTTTTGAATGAATTTAACTTCTGTTCCATGTCTTTAGTAATTCTCTGGTTCTCACTGGCGTTGATTAAAATTGAAATAGTTCTAAACGGCACTTTTTTGTCTTTTCAAATGAAGGGGGTATAATAAGCTACAGGGAGTCACAAGAATCATACCTCATGATGATGGTGAGTGTGACTAGCAACAAGAGTCTTCCACAGTCAGAGCACTGAATTTCAGGACCACTGTTGCCATCATTGTACTTCTAATCGGACACTTAACTCTTAACCTGTGCAATCATTTTTCCCTTTTTCCATTTCTGATCCACCACCCCCCCCTCCCCTCCCCCTTTTCTATTCAATACAGTCCATGAAATCTTGTTTCTACAAATCAATCTCAATATCTGTATCATTCATGTCATGCTTGCACACATCTGTATAGTGTAGTTGGAGGCTGACCTTAAGATCTTCAACTCATATATAATTCAAAACAGAGAATGTCCTTAAAGTAAAGTGAGTTAACGACTTTTTTCCCCACCTTCTGGAGCACTGGGCTTGCAGGGCTAGACCTATATTTTATAGACCAATCAACACTGGATAGGTGATGTGGTCAGCATCACACTGGCCGCATTTACTTCCCAGGAGTGAAAATATGTCTAACATTACATGACTGGTGGGCCACTGGCATGAAAAGGGATCTTCACATTTTGGTAAATAATCTGTATGTCTAGGCACAGAAATGGGTCCTTTACTTATAATTGTAACTCTTAGATGCATGATTGGGCTCTGCTTAAAATGAAGGTTTCACAATATTTTCTATATTCCACTGAGACACATTATAATAAAAAATGCTTTTCCATATCTCACAACTCCCAATAGAATGGATAAGTTTATGTTCTGTTGTTTTAAATATCATCACAAAATAACGTCCAGGATATGTTCCCTCCTTCCCTTTTTATCTTCTCTTCTCTACAATTTTTTTTATTTTCAAGTATTCCTGTTTTTCTTTGAGGCTCACTGTTGCAGATATCACCTGCCTCGATTCATCTCTGTGACTGGCCTTTTCTTCCTAGTTGGTGATTCCAAGTGTTTGTTGGTAAGCCTGAATATTAACTCTCCATCCTCTTTTTTGACCCGCATTGTGGTCAACTCCTAGTCAGCACTTGTATGTATGCAGTTTTAGTCGCTTCATTGTTTGCACTTCATTCTTTACATTCTTCATCCTTTGCAGTCAGTTAGGTTTCAAACAGATGCCAGTACAGACAAAAGTAATTGAGAAAGATTTAAAAAGATTATGAACTGTCTTGTTGCTTCTGTCTTATAATGTGATCAACAACAAAAAACTGGTGACAGCCTCTTTCTGTTATTTGTGATCAAACTGTCTCTTTCAAAACATTCTGATTATCAATTTTGGCTTCCTAAGGTATCTTCAGCTTCTTTTTTTTTTTTAAACCACATTTCCTAATACAGATGGTAGAAGTAATTAAAAATAAGTTTTAATTTAAACATTTCAAGCATATGAAATATAACAAGAGAACAATGTATTTAGACTGAAATATACTAAATATTAAAAGTAAATAAATTAACTATGCCGCAAATGTATTTTAATCTGATGGTAAAAGAGTTAAATAACAAGCCATATAGTGCACTTTTATGAGAACACTTTACATGAATAGCATTATGCTGAGATGTTGATATAATTTCCATTTTAATTGAACATTTTGAATAGTTTGATTAGTTTCAGGCTTATTTTTTATTTGACTATGTGGCATTAATAATTAAAACTGGCTTATAATGTTTAAATTTTCAGTAGTGGTAGTGTTAACTTTTAAAACATCAGTTCTCTTTGGTGCTATTTTATAACTTTATAATTGTTTCACTAGTGCTAACACTGAAAACATCAGTGTTCTTTGGTGCTATTTTATAACTATATAATTGTTTCACTAGTGCTAACACTGAAAACATCAGTTCTCCTTGGTGCTATTTTATAACTTTATAATTGTTTCACTAGTGCTAACACTGGAAACAACAGTGCTCTTTGGTGCTATAACTATATAATTGTTTCACTAGTGCTAACACTGAAAACAGCGGCACTTTTTTTTGTTTTTGTGCTATCATTTTTTTTATAACTATATGACTATAAGTTACTATAACATTTAAGACATCAGTGCTCTTTGGTGCTATGTTATAACTATCGCAACTGTTGTGATGACCATTTTCAATGACAGATCAATTAATAAAATGGTTTATCCTTTTCAAAACGGAACAAACACTGATATAACAAGCAGTATTACCTGTGGGGTCTGTCTGATTTGTGGCATTTCCTGTCACTTCAAAGGTCTTGAATTTCTCATAGTCAAACAATTTCCTCTGTTCAACTGGTAGACCTGATCGCAAGGTAAGTCTACCATTTGTCACCTGAAACAATGCAGGGACTCCTGCAGAATTGTTTGTGACGACGTAATTTCTGTTTGGAACAGCGCTCGTCAAATTAAAAAGTGTAACATCAGAAGAGACATTTTCTGGAATCACATTTGGAGCTGACACCACTCTGACCTCAACAGCTCGCTTGTGCCTGTGAGGGTCAGCTTCTGACTCAGTCTCAGATGCTCCAAGAACAAACACCAGGTGTGAAAGAATCAGAAGACTTAAAATAATTATGCTGCCAGTTTCTAAGCACTTAAAAGTGTTTGAAGATGCTGCCATTGCTTTCAACATTTACATAAACATAAGCACACTGCAATGTTCTCAGATCTATGTCTTATAGCTGTATTATAACTGCAAATAACTCCTGTATCTCCTCCAAATGAAAGGTAACTTCAGCCACTCTCTATTACCTGTTGAAAAAAAAAAGTGTACCATAAAAGAATGTACCATAATAGCTGTATTTTGCACTATATTATAAATCTGACACTAATTAATAAAGTTACCTCAGTTGCAACTTAAATTATATTTTACACCATATAATAAAACAGACACTAAATGGCTTTAAAGTTGACACAATATTATAAAACAGACATAAATGTACCCACAAAAAAATGTCTCAATCATTATTTTATATGCATTTGAAACTTTTTATCAAGTAATTAAGGCTGTCTCAATTAACAGCGAATTTGTTAACAAATTTCCTCCCAGCGTGGTTAAGAACTCAAGGTGCCAAAATGAACTCTCAGAAAAATGCTATCCACCACCATATATTAATACCACACGCCAAAACCATTTTTCCTGTAGTATTAATAAAGTCAAATCAGTAAGGCTTGTATAGATCATACATTTTGATTACAATTTTACAGTTACTAATTAACTATAAACATTCAATAAATGGTGCCTGTGCAGAATAAAGAGCCTTAAGTGATAAATCAAAATCATAATGTAAAGCTTATATAGCGAGAATTAAACAGCTCTAGTGAATCAAGAGGTAAGGGAAAAGGCAATGGCACTGGATAGAACCCACAGAAAGAAAATTTTCTAGAAAATTCTTTTTCTGAAACCCACATGTCAAAAGACATGGAGGTGAGAAATGACAGCTCATCGAAAAGAAAAAAGAAATTGAGCTTAGCATGAGTGTGGTGGGTAATTCGACTAGGGAATAAAAAATAAAAGAAATGGAGGAGGTATAGGATAAGTGGATAGGGAGAAAGAGGAGGACAATGCGAAATATATATGGAGGCAAAATAGAAGCAAAAGAAAAAAGAAGAAATGGAGGAAAGAAAGAAACAGAAGAGGATGATGAGGAGGGGAGTGGAGAATAAAATGGACGGAAGGAGGAAACAGAAGAGGACAGGAGGAAGACTATTTATGTGCAGCAAGTTTTCCATCATCATAGGTATTTTACAGAGATTAACGTAGTCAGTTAATGGTATCTTTTGGTTTTCATATTTCCTACACTCCAGCAAATAGTATTGCATTTATGGCACACATTACAGGTCTCTTCGTGTATAGTCAAGCAGGGCCATCAAAGCTGAAGTCTAAGCAACAAGCAACAATACAAACGATTGGATCAAATCTGCCTGTCTGTCTTTTCCTGGAAGGCAGACCAACAGGAAAAATATAAGATATCTTCGTTTTCCCGAGTGGGTTCCGGGACTCTTTTATAGGGAAAACAAGAATAGAAACACTGCCTACCCAAAAAACATGTGGTAAGAGTTGACTAATTGGGAGCTTCCTTTGAAGTCGGAGTGCCTCTGCCTGAGAGGCAAGGAACCAGCAGTCTGCATACAAATGAGTCAGATCTGTAAAATGGATGCACACGCAGCACTAAAGTTCTGGAACAGGACTGCAGTCCAAAAGTGGATGAACAACCAGAACTTTCTGCCAGAGTTAACAGCTGGTGAACACAAAGAAGAAGAAGAAGATATCTCATTCAAGCTTCAACGAAGTTATAACTGGGATACCTGTAACAACTACATAAACCTGGTGTAAGCTGCAATCCTTTGCCCACATTGATTTAATTTGATTCAAAAACTGATATCACAGCACTCGGACATTCCCATAAGCACTCCATCCCCACCTTTAGCAGCCAGCGAAGAGTTCCGATATTTATAATGGTGCCAGTAGCATTCAGATTAAACGTCCGTCTTGCCTTTCCTCTGAGCCTCGAGCATTTGCGAAACCTCCCCCCCCCCCCCCCCCCCTAATCAATCTCAACAGACTGTGGTGATCCATCTGCCCTTCCAAACTGTAACTGTATTGTTTGGACAATATACCATAAGCGTTAAATTATGTCCTGTCCATAAATTACCATTAGCCCGCGCGCTTGTTTTTTCCTTTCTTTGAAAAATGACCTTGGCTCTCAACGTTAAGTCGTGAGAAGTAAAGGCGGCCGGCATGATGTTGACCACAACATCCACTGAGTGCCGGCTAGTCTATAATAAAAACATGTCTCATCATCGCAAGCTCAATGCACCAGTGGCCACTTTTCTTTTTTCCGAACACGCTCGTGAATTCAAGTGTCCAACGTGACTAATATGTAAGACGTTCCAGAGACATTTACGGCCTGCCTATAAAGACTTCAATGACGTAATATTAACTCGACACGGACCGCGTAGGACAGTGGTTCTTAAACTGGGAGCTGCGGCACCCAGGAGTGCCGCGAGCCAGGGGCTTCGCGGCAATAATCTGTTTTTTGTTTTTTCCTTTTTATCTGCTCGAGATTAGCGAAAACAGCAGTTTAAAACAAAAATACCACTAAGGAAGCCAAGCAAGTGTTCTTGATGCAGGTGTATTCAGAAAACAATGCTTTTGACAAGGCTGCAGTGCATTCTCAACGTACGTTTACATTAATAAACAGTTACAGGTGCAATCTTCAAGTGATGTGAGCGTATGATTTACTAAACTTCCCATAAACATAAAGGAAATAAATAATTTCATTCATAGCATTGAAGACAAATGAACATTAAATTTGCACTTTTTTTTTCGCCCTTTCCTAAATATTCAAACCTCTTTAAGGGTGCGGTGATTAAAGTTTGAGAAACGCTGGTGTAGAATATGCTTGCTAGGTGTGTTATCCTAAAATTAGACGGTACTAAAAATAAAAAGGCCCCGTTGAACAGCCAAACTGGATGGTTGTTTCGTCCTCTTCGAGAGCTGACAATCTGTCATGCTGTCAACATGTCTACGGCCCAGATTAACATTTTCTTATCTGGTGTGTTCGGTTTGAGCAAACAGTTTGTTATCCACACGGCTAGCTCCAAATATATGACCTTATATCTGGAGTTGGCCGTGGTCATCCACTTTCGCTTGTTGCATAGTCAAGCGTTCAATGCGCGAAAACAAGGTTCCCCCGTATGGTTTTCATGGCCCCATTGTTGGGGAAAACAAGAATAGACACACTGCCTCCCCAACAAGCATGTCGTAAAACAGTCAGCTTTCTTGATACCACTGTCGAAACCAACGCAAGGCGCATGGGAAAATCCGGCATTACGAAGCGTTCGCATCGACTTAGCCACAGAGCCGACTTTCACGGCCTTACCTCCCTTAAAAAGAATGATAGACTGCACTGATGGCATAAAATATTGAGCATATAGATGTATATCACACACACAGACACACACGTTCTTAAATGTGGTCACTGAATGTCATTAAAGGATATGTTCAAACACAGAGACAGATTGTTTAAAAAAAAAAGTGCAGATACTAGTCATAAAGTTCTGTTACATTAGTGTTCACGATCATACCTTAAAAAGGGTGCCTGTTACTGTGTACCGTGCACCGCCAGAGAAAGTTGCAGTTAGCTTATGTATGTATGTATCTGTAGATGGATGGATGGATGGATGTATGTATGTATGTATGTATGTATGTATGTATGTATGTATGTATGTATGTATGTATGTATGTATGTATGTATGTATGTATGTATGTATGTATGTATGTATGTATGTATGTATGTATGTATGTATGTATGTATGTATGTATGTATGTATGTATGTATGTATGTATGTATGTATGTATGTATGTATGTATGTATGTATGTATGTATGTATGTGTATGTCATGTATGTATGTACCTGTATGTATGTATGTATGTATGTATGTATGTATGTATGTATGTATGTATGTATGTATGTATGTATGTGCATGTATGTATGTATGGTAGTATGTATGTATGTATGTATGTATGTAGTATGTATATGTATGTATGTACGGATGGATGTAATGTATGTATGTATGTATGTATGTATGTATGTATGTATGTATGTATGTATGTATGTATGTATGTATGTATGTATGTATGTATGTATGTATGTATGTATGTATGTATGTACGGATGGATGTAATGTATGTAGCTTTCACAATACGGCTGTTTGTTGCACGGCCAGAAACTGACCCCACCAAGACGTGAATGAAAGATAGGTTATAAATAGATAAGCTTGTGAATGATGAGGCAAAGGGGAGAACGGAGGAGTAAAGCGGAATGGAGAGTGTGTACCGGAGAGAAGAGTGACCAGAATGGGGCAGAAAAGGGAAAAGTCTAGAGGGAGAATGGTAAAAAGAATGAGATAAACATACACATAAAAGAATGAGATAAACATACAGTGACGGGGGTAGAGATGAATATTTGGAACACATCTAGGGTTAACTAGCTGGTTTTCAACCATATGCAGACTGGATTTTTAATTCATAGGTCCGATGCACTGACTTTCAAGTCACTAGACACCTCACACGTTTCTGTCCATTGGAGACAGTCTAGAACTTTCCCCCCGATCCAGTACCAAAATTCCATTTTCTCAGAAACTGTGCTCCGGAGCTCTCCCTCCACTCTCCAAGCGCAAATACCAGCAAGATGTCCGAGACTGGTACTGACATTACCCATAGAGGCATATTAGGACGCAATCAGGCAACGATTCAACACAGCAAGGGCGAGATACAAGTTGCTAATGATTTCTCCAAGGATATTTCATAGTTAATAGACTCCAAGCAAATGTCAGGATATGAGGTTTTACTGGTAATGGTAATGTTAGTTTCAGCTTCATAGCAAACGGGTCACCCCCATGGTTGCTCTGCTGCTCCTGTGCCAACTAAAAAAACACATAATGTTCGTCACAGTCCCTTGTGGAGAGATTGACAGACTGCTGTCTCAGCATATGCACTAGCATACACTACACGCATTAAAAGCATAGGGTAGCCATCAGGAGTGCTAACACAGTCCTACATAAGAAATGCAGTTCATCATCGACTGTAGCCGAGGTAACCAACAAATCAGCAGTTGCACACGCGATC